CTCGAAAGCTACCAAAGACGAAGCCATCAACGTCTTCGCCAGAAGTGACTGAAACTACTATGTCACTAAATTCTACCACCCCGCTCCAATGACCTTCTTGCAGTTAACAATTTTGCGTCTGAGCACAGCAGTGGCAGGCTTCCAACCAGTTGACGAAAAACGATATCCATCCAACTGCTATCAACGTAAGCCGTCAAGTAGTTTGATAATATTGATCTGGAAGCTTTTATTGTTCCCCGCTTGATAATTGATCGTATTCGCGATGAACTGAGTGAGGCCATGAGACGGTCGCAGGCGGGAATGCATATTTAGCACGGCCTGGCCCATCAGAATATTAAAATTTTTTGAATTGGTGAGCACATAGTAAATGAGCGGGCTCGTTCGTTTACCAAACTTGTACGGGCTGAAGCCTGAAGAGCCTGGCCGTGGACTGTCGGAAGAAAGTGCCTTAGTATCTAGGTACATTTCGACAGTGGTAGCATTTGTAAAGGTGCATAACATTGAGCCATTTCCTGTAATACAAGATGTGATGCAGCAAGTGGGAAACGAAACTGTATTGCGCTCCTGGCAGTTAACTTCCGCGGCGAGGCCTTAGTGAGTTCTTTCCAAGATCCTTGGAAGGGAACCAAACAGGTGGTGACCCAAGTCGATTGTGACATCGAGGCACCAAACCATTGGTTCAACTTGAAGGAAGTTCAACTGCGGTCCCTGCTATAGTCAGAATCGCTCACGGCAGGGAGGAGACCACATTGTCAAATGCGCTAACACGATCAAGTCTCGCCCTTGTCAACTTGCTATACTAAACTCCACTGTGAGCAGGCTGGGAAACCTGAAGTCAAGTCATATCGTTGTGGTCTTGCGGAAGATTTAACTGACGTGGTCGTGATCACGGGAAGTACGGTGGTCATTAGAGAAACCAACAATGTCAAGGTCGTCAAAGGCTCGAGAATTAATCTGACTGTCGAATCCGAGAGGGCCATTTACCGAAAACATCAAAGGGCGCCCATAAAGCCCCGTCAAAAGCAAGAATGGTCTATGCAGTGTCTATGGATGCCTTGATGAAAAGCGGACCTGTCGATGTTCTTAGCATCGTGCAAGGTGCGCAAATGAGCAAGTGGATATACCTTGAATTCAATAGGCAACGAGGCCATCGTTGAGAACATTCGAGGAGAGCATGCTATAGTGAGTATATTTCCGGATAACCCGCACGTTCTCTCTCGCGGCGTGCTTCCATGCTTGACGCCCATGGCTGAGCAGCATGTGTAGGTCGGTTGCATTCCTTTTGCAAACTTGACTGGTCGACGAGTAGATCGGCAGCTCAGAGTTCCTCGTTTCGTATCATGGGGCTGGGTATACAATCCCCCGGTACCCGCGCGTCACCGGAGAAGCGTGTCAAACAACTGAAAGATGCATAGGAATGTGCAGCTGCGTCGAATGTGTGCGCGCTTAACGTATGATATGAGGGTTTTTCGGCGGTCACCACGGCGAAACGTATTTGCAGTGCAGAATGCATGCAAACTACTTGATGGAATGGAACTGTGATCCCTACAAATGAATGCAGACCCTGTAAATGCACTCATTAAGTACTCAGATACTTATTTGAATAGGAGACCTACCACCCAAATAGACCTGTCCGACCGTTTTGTGGCAGATCCTTTTCCCTTTCTGACCTCCAGGGAGTTCAGAATAGGAAAACTTCGAAGCCTAGACACGGATCCAAGTCGACTAACTTCACAGTGTCTCCGAGGACCTGAGTAACGAGGCATTGTCATGATAGCATTAGCAAAATTTGCATATGGTGAATCACCGCATGAGGCCAAACAAAACTGTGGAAAGGCAGTCGTTGACTGCGTAGGCTGAGCGTTGATTTGATATGACCATAAGTAAGGGGGCCTCTAGTTGAGGCAAAAAAAACGTTCAGTATCCAATACTAGCGCCAACCTGTCAGCCCAGGTACAGCGTGCAAATAACCTCGGGTGGAGCAGAAACGCTGTTGTAATAACGCATATAGATCAACCGAGGCCGGTCCTGGTTTGGCAAATTCAACAAGCACAGGCCGGGGATTAGTATGGAACGTTGGATGTTGATTGCGCCATGCGGCTAGATGAATTCCTTCTATGGTAGGTATAATTTTGTTCTATGCTTCTGACCTATGCATACTCGACGTTAGCGTCCGACCCGGAGAAGACTGTGGTGCGTGCACAAATGAACGTAAAATGGGATTAGGCTCGGAGAAGAAGGGGCCAGTAATCGGCATCAGCAACGCCACGGCAGAGTGGAATATCAATCGCAATTCATGCTGGCAGCGGGCACCACCTCATTCCTTTTCACCCTTCTAGGCAAAACTAACTGACCTATAAAACTGGGTTCGAACGTAGATGTGTAACTGCCAAAAACAATGGTCGTTCAAGCAACAAATAAAAATTGGAATATACCTTGCCAATCTTAAGTCGTTTGCAAATCTGGTTCGCAGATTCAAACAAACGAAACTTGCAAACATTGGATGGCTTGTGCAAATCTGCGACGGTGATACAGAAGAAGAATTCTGTATAAGCACATGACAGACTACAGGCCTGAACATGACCTCCCCTGCCCGTTCCATCGAAGCATGGCAAGATTTGATGCGAACTCAGGGATAATCACCCAACATGAGTATATAAATACGAGCAAGGGGCTATTCCTTTGATTTGACGACCAACAAATGCAAATATCTGAATCGCACCAGAAGGCATGCTTGAACTTCCAGTGGCATTGTCATGCTCTTAGGTAACTATGTGGGAACAGGGAAGCATCGAGAAAATGATGCGAGACAGTTTCAGCACCAAGCATGTCTAGGGAGTTGGGTTGGAAATTGAATGACTCGCCTTTGGGAGTAATATCGATACGCAGCCTCAGCATCCACTACAACTGACAGGATATGCAAGGGGAGCATAGACAGAGTGCGGTAAATGACCCTCGGAACATAACAGTGGAGGAATTAAGATAAGGGGCCCGGACCCGTCAGATGACTCAAATCCAGCACGCGATCGTCGCAGATGTGCCTCCAACAAAAAGCTTCCGCAAGAAGGGCGTTGAAAAGGTAAATGGGGAAGGTGATCGCCGTAAGCTGCCTGAAAGTTCCTGATGTCCTTTCAACCCAATGAAAGAGAACGCCATGCCTTGCACCATGCCAAGGGTCGGTTCTCGCCTGAGGTAAAACGCGGACGGCGCGAGGGTATCTGTTCAATCTCCTCCAAGTCACCCTGCACAGAGTAGCAATCTGTATCAGATTCTTTTACTCGTTGAACTAGCGTAATTTCAATCTCACACCTTCTTTCGTTGATGTCACAGACCTTTTTTTGATGCAGGAACGGCTAAAAACACATCCCGTCGCCACATGATTTCCTGAGGCATGCCGAGTCAGGTTGGGTACAATGCAGATGAGTTTGAGCCGCGCAGCGAATGTACTAACACATCTTCCATGCCAGGATCGTCAAGTTCTTCAATCATCCACTGTTGCACAACGGATTCTAATTAATCTAACAACATAAATGACAGGACTCTGAATCATGTGCAATTGTCGTACCTGAAGCTGTCCAGACGGTCCAGCTTAACGACAGAAAAAACACGCATGTATCTCGAATCTCGATATATAGGATGGGGTGAAAATGATCGATGGTTGGAATAAACACAGAAGGATTGAACTAGAGCGTCTTGGTTCTTGGTCCAACGATTCATGTCGGTAATCACGATAGCCGGGCAGAAAACACTCCGACATGTTTTTTTTTTTTCTTTTTGATTTGTCAGCTCTTTCAACCCTCTCCTCGTCTGCCGTGACCCGTCACTACCACTCAGCTCTACATTACCATCGCGTTTAACTTGTCATGGCTGCAGCTTCATCGTATTTTGCCATTGACTTCACATTTGCTTATGCCTCCCGTTTCGCTGGTCGTGTCGGATCAGGAGCTCCTCGATGACGGGACGTCCTTCGTGTCTTCCCAAGTTCTTTAGTTTTTTTTTGATGTTTCCCGACTTCGATGAGCAGTTTCATGATCAGTATCCAGTTGCACGTTTGTTGCCCTTTACTGCTCCTACTCCACGTACGTCGTGGAGAGCTACATGACTCCTGACGATTATGCCGCGATCGCCCACGCACATTCCATTGGTGTTCGGATATCCGATCGGAAGGACTCTGACGTGACATACTACGAGTGCATATATGTGATGTTGAGTGTGTCAATAATCTCGTTGTATGCGTGCTTTTAAAGACGTCCCAACAACATTTCGCGGATCAGATTATGCCTGATCCTTTTCTAATCTTTTTCGTGATCGCTGTGCTGCTTTGCAACACTCGAGCCGTAATTGATCCAGTCAATCCGAAAGTTTTGTATTGACGGACAACCACACAAACCAAGCCAAGCAGCGTTTCTGAGGTTATGAAGGTAATGCTGGTTGCAATGATCAGAATGGTCCTTTTCCATATTGTGCTCAGAATGTTCCACCTAGGGAATTGGTGCTCGTCGATGTCCACAAGGTACTGTTGCATTACACGTCTTTTGAGATTGTTGCAACATCCCATGGGCAGAGGCCTCGGGGTTGAAGGAGATGGCTTGCTGAAACGTGCCGGTGAATAGGCTGATGACGACGTGGACTAGAATTTTTGGTGGTTCGAGGCACAAATTAGTTCGAAAGTCCATGACACCTACCAAGCTTTGTCCTTCGCATCCATCGCGACCTGTAATAATCGAGTATATTTTGAGCGTATTTCCTCGGTTCTAGTAGCATAGGTGCATGTAGTACTGCTGATCTTTTGTTGGAACTCAGCCGCATCAGTAGCTACTACAAAAGCAGGTAGCTAAACATGATATCTTTCTTTTTCATTCTCTGCAGTGAGGATTGACGAGACACTACCACCCACCTACTGGGAGGCGCACACAGGCAATTGACGCAAGTATCGGAAGCTAGAAAACCATATGTATTGTAACAAGTAAAGGAAATCACTACAAAGGTTTTTGTGAAGGCTAGCTGAGCGCAGCCCAGCTCTTGGTATTTTTGAATGACTGTATAAAATTATCAATATCTGATTCGGATTCCTCGGGGTTGGGCTGCTCGTCTCCATCTGAGAGAAACTGAAGGCCAGGATAGTATCGAGCGTCGGCTTCCTTTTTAAGCACCACAAAAGACTCCACAAGGAACTTCCACGTAGGTGACTCTATGTGAGGAGATCGGTATTCTTTGAGGTTGTTCAAAAAGTATAACTTGAGCATGCCACAGGTCACTGCGTCAGAAGTGGCCCAATCGTCCAAATGACGCGATTTCACTGGCAGAAGGGCTCCGTTCTCGTAACGCAAAGAAATCCAGGCTAAGCACCACATGAACGACTCTATATCATGACGATATAGGTGTTTGACTTCTCCTCGTTGACCCTGTGCGGAGAGAAGCTCGAGCGCCGTAAATGGTATCGTGCCTGTGCGCTCATTGCCCCGAGGATCCTGGTCATCTGCCAACGAGGATAGATCGTAGTCGTTCAAGACGCCTATCAGTCTGCCAAGGCTCCTATACCACATCAGGTTGCCAGGGCTGACATCTCGATAAAATACCCCTTCCTTCCACAAAGTAACGTGGCCTGCATGATATGTCAATGAAGAGCCTCATGAATACAATAAAATACGTACATTGGATGCATTGATACCACACGTCAAAAAGATCTTTGCCGTGAAGCTTCGTGATGGGGTGGAGCTTGCGGAATACAAGTATATAGAGCACGCGACTACCCGTGGTGGGTTCTGGAACGCCGAGTGCTTCTCGGATAGCGGATGTGGGATTCGTAAATGTGTGGTGCCAGAGCAGTTCAGGAATATGGTCTTTTACGGTGTCGTGCACCTTGGCGATCTCCTTGACCTTGTCCAGGATTTTTGGCTCGCTAGTGCGATTCGCCTCTCCCAAAAAAAATTTGGCCACCATTCCATCCTGAATATCTCTATATTTCTTCGTAAGCGCTTCGCTGGTGACAGAGACCACATTATTGGCGCGTCCTTGCAGTCCGTAGTGCGTCATGCGTTTGTCGTGGCTGGTGTGAAGCAGCAGATCCACATCTCCAAGTTGCTCGTCCTTGATTTTGAATTGATGACATCGTTTTCCTTCAACTTGAACTGGGAGAAAGTCCTTGTTTCGGCCCCAATAATTGAGCTCAAATGGTTGTAAAGTATGTAACAGGACCATGAATCGTGGGATATCTTGAATGAAGTTGATGCCCGAGCTTTGAATGGTGCCCAGGGCTGCCGATCATAATACCAGATCCACACCACATCGTCTAAAAAGCTGTAGTACGAGGGCGAGCGACATCAACAGGCGAACAAATCTACCGACGACGATAAGATTAATGAGATAATTGACGGCAAGATTCCAGAAGGTCTGGACTCTGCGGCCTACAAGTTCAAGTTGCGCTTCAAGCTAGATCAACACGCACACGTGACCCTAACATACACCTACTTCAGATCGGCGAAGAACCAAACTTGACATCACTGGAACCAGATTTTCCTTGCTCTTCAAGAAATTTCAAGAACAGGGTCTCACTGCCAGTGCGTACCTCTACTTTCCCATGACCCAGTGTTTTGTCAATGTCTTCTCAAATGAACAACCCGGGTCCAAGACAATTATTTCGAGATTCCCGACATCGGGGAATGCTACTTAAGTGGAGTCTCTGCTGCAGTGTACCTTTGGTCCTCCTGGAATCCTGGGACGTTTAATCTAAACGGCGCAAAATATAATGCATCCACTCGTATAGTAGGTTCAAATTCTCAGGTCACTCGAAGCTGTTTTGCGATGATGTGTTGTGTACCTAGAGGGGATTGTGCCCCCATCGAGGATTCTTTTGGCCTGGATGGATTTTCGGGTCCCAACGGTACTCGTCTCGGTTTTTCTGGTGAAAATGTCGCATTTAGCGTGGAATTGATGCCGGGACAACACCTCAGCGTGTCTATTCTCTGTGGCAGCAAGGGTTAACAGTCAATGCCAGCTGCCGGTCCATTGGCTCGAGTCAAACGCAGTACGTTTGAAGCACGAACAACAACTAACTATGCTATCCATGCCAACCTAGCTGCTTCGAACGACTCCATCACAGGGCTTCGTGTGTGAAATATAACTGCAAACTGCGGTGCGAGTGAGTCCGACTGCATGTGTATCTTTCCTCTAATTTACTGTCGACTTCTAGATACGCCCATGACCCAGGTATATGTGACCATGTGAATGATAGTGGAAATGCCAACCTGATAACGAGTGGCTTTCTTCCTTGCGTCGTGTGCCTGAGGCCTACGAATCTGAATCAAACATGTACAAGCTTCAGTGAGCCATTGAAATATGCGTTTGTAGCTATTGACCGATTCTGTTCCTATAACGGTTCTTTTACAAGGATTTTCCAAGTATATGTTCCTTGATGCAAGCATATGCGAAGTGACCCAACTGTTGACCACAGCCCTTGCTAATTATTCCAATGACCTAATTTCTGCCGGATTAATTGATACTCTGTACTCCATCTATTCCTCAACAACTAGCACATCTATCGACGACAATCTTGGAAATCAGACGCTGGTTCACAAAGAGCTGGCGAGTTTATCTTGCCCACCTTATGTTTATGAGTTTGTTAGGAGGAGTATTGGTGTGAGCTTATTGAGTTTTCTGCCAGTGATACCTTGGGTTCGGTCCGAATTGACCTAGCATCGCTTGGCAGTTCCTTCGTTCCGGGTTTATAGATGGCTCCTCAATAATACCATTCCAGACGACCTCTCCCTAATCAATGGAACGCAGAAGATGTTTGTTGAAGCAAATTAAGTACCATTGCGCCATGGTAGCTGTCTCTTTTTACTCGTATACCCATTCTGACTGCTGTGTAATTGTTGTCTTCGAGCCTTGCATGCTACAAAGACACCCGTTCAGTCGGCTCTATAGTGTTTACAGTAGCAATTTAGAAAATACAATATTAATACAATCTTGTCCTGTTCGTATTCTCGCCCTCGACAACACTATGTACAATTGGCCATGAGCAAAAAGATCCCTACCGGGGCACTGCATGAGTTCTAATAGAAGGTTTTTAGGTCTTTCAAACGGGTGAAGACACGGTTGCTCTAGGTACATACGTGAAACGCTCCGTGTTTCACATCGAAAAAGCCGACATGCAGGATATGACGATCAGGTGAGGATATGGCGACCAAGAACCGAAGATTCCCTAAAAGATTCAAGATGCTTCTGAACCTCAAGGCAGATACCAGAGGGGCGCTTGTATCCTGGAGGGCAAGTTCGATCGACAGAAGGGAGTACCGAGGAAATAATGCGAGATACACCTTCAGCATTCGACATGGCAGAGGAGGTCAAGTTCAAATGTCGTAGAGAGGTATGAAGGAACGAATCGGCTGTAGGATCGACATCGATATCGGTGGTATCTAATGGTATGTCCAACGTATGCAAGCGGGGACATCGGTGGAGAGCTGTGAATAATCCGCGGAATGTAACGGTAGGTGCCGCCTGGGGATCAACAAATTCCAGCATTCGGATGTGTGGCCAACTTGACATGGCTTCCAAAAGCAGGTCGTTGTCAAGGTTTATGCAGCAACAAGGAAAATTGAACCGCAGGATTCGCAATTGCGTGAAACAAAGGAATTGTCTGATTGGCGTCGAGGAGTTGCCCAAGAGGTCCTGAAGTTCTTGATCACCACGTTCAGAGGAGATGGCAATGTGTGAAAGGGTCTTGTGCCGTGACAGTGCATGAAAGAGCGGCTCAGCCTCTGCCCAAGGCAACTTAACGATGTCCATCTCGAATTGATTTAGCGAAGGGAAATCTAGATGTTGCATGACTGCGATGGTGTATGCGACTCTCCTGGTATAGAAATACAGTGTCGTGATGTTGAGGAAAGGCGCGAAAGTGAGATTACACGAGCCCAACGAACAGCGGTCGTCCCAGATCTCCAGCGTACGAAGGGTAGGGAGGTTGGAAAGGTACTCCAATGTTGTCCAATCGAGTGGTGGGCAAGCCAGAGTCACAAGTCGTTTGCACAAACGGATACTGTCATACAGCACCTGCCCATCTGCCGCTATGTTTCCGAAGGAGGATTTGATGGACAAATCCTCCAAAGCAGCACAACGGATTGGGACAGATTTCAAATCTGGTTGAACGCATGGTAAGGTACAACGACGCAGCGTGGGTGACGGGAAGAGATGCAGGTATCGATTCAAATTTCGATCCGTTGATAGCGACAACAATCTCGGAAACATGCACTCGATCAGGAGGTCTGAGAGAACGTGAAGGTAGTCGTCGTGTAGTATTCTCAATGAGCGAACGCGATGGGCGTGATGCAAGAATTGACAGGTTTCATGTTCATATAATGGCTCGATAACTTCAAAGCACAAGTACTGCGTTCGGGTGCTCGGTGAGTGAATGAACGAGATAGAATGAACATAATCCGTGCTGACCGATCTGACCTTTGAACCGCCCCTACAATACATGACTGGATGTAGCCTTGTTACACAACCTAGCAGTGGTTTTATCCCATCCAACTCAGCCCAAAGCAAATCCATTGCAGGCTCGTAAAAAAGTTTGCATGTCCTAGCAAGCGCTGCAAAGGATTTCCGCGCCAATGATATCTCGCGATATGACAATAATGGTGCATATGGGTCCAGGACTCTATTCACATGCATGAATACCTGTAGGAGAATTTCTGAAACACATAAAGCGCGATGCATCAGTTCTACGGCGATGGAATAGTGCTTTGATGATTCAATAGCAAGTACTACAAGAGATTGCGCCGCACAAAACAAACACAAACAACCTTGAACATCGAATATTAGATATTGAAAACTAATTAACTCAACATTGTGCACCTAACAGGATGCGTGTTGACCACAATAAAAGAATATATAGGCTCGACGAGATACCTTGTAGAAATTGAAAGTCAAAGGCCGGTGGCATTTCTGTTCCGTTTCGCAGATTTTTTTTCTTTTTTTAAAGTAGGGCTATCGACACAACCAGTATGCTAGAGTCAGGATTCATCCCATTTAAATTAGACGTCGTACTCGAGACTGAAACATATGTCAATCACGAGGTCTCGAAAATGCAGCATCTATGCCCATCTGCGCGACTCTAGCCACATCATCTCTGCTTAAGCCAAGGCCTAGCGGAGGCTGCGCTAGAAGCAAAGAGTACTCTCCAAGACAAGACGTTCCGAAAGGGAGTGCGTCGTCAGTCTATTTATGATGCAAAACGTCAGACGGAGCCTATGATGCGTTAAATAGCGTGCTTACGCATATAACGATAGGATGGTTATTCTTCAGATAATAGCGAATATGGTGCGCGTCGAGGGACGCGACAGTTTTGCATCTGAAAGAAAAGTTGGATTTGATAGCTCGCAGGGTCAATGTATGATCTTACAGAAGATTGGAGCTCAGGCATATTTCGATGCATGGCTTGTACTGTCCATTTGCGGGCGCGTTATTAGGCAACTCCGCTTGTTTGATCATCTCTTCGATATCCTTGATCGCAGCTCGCTCGGAAAATTTCTCTGCATCAGCCCAGAAAGACATCTGCGCTTTCGCTTCCTCGGACTCAGTGCTATCTGAAACGAAGCGTAGAAGATAACTCTTTTTGAGATTTTGAAATTTGGAGTGGAGAGGGTGAAGGGGATCTCTGAGTCCGGCTGGTGTGTGAGGGTTTGTTGTGCCCGTTGCACATTCAGACAATGAGCTGCATTCTGTCCCAGGCTGCGGGATATCCTCAAAGAACAAAGCCTTGAGTTCATCAGAAAGGAATGTCGCGTGTCCGAGTCGATCTGGACGACAACTAAGAAGTGCCAGAGAATCCTCTGTTGTATTATTTGTGCTCTGCGATTGCGATCATTATTGAGTAGCATACACCAGAGTAAACATCCGAATCACAAACCTCCGCGATGTGTACAGTCAGTCCAAGACCAGCATCTTTGACTCTTGATAGGTGCTGAGTGAAAGATCGCATGTCGCCGCTGCGTGGATCCCCGCATACATCAATGCCTACAACTCTTCTGCCCCTGTTCTTCATCTCGATGGCAAGATTAATGCATTCTTCAACATCCAAATCACTCATGCGACGATCGACGGACACGATCAGGGCAGCCTGAGTAGCAGGATACATCTCTACTTCATCAAGCACGACTGTGAGGTACTTCTCTCGCGTCATGTGCGTCGTCTTGCGAGGTGTAGTCCGTAGTTCAAGGTACGTGCATTGAGGGCTTTCCACACCATCATTTGTGGAGTTCAGAAATGACTGGAGGACTGCACGAGTAGTGATCACGACAGCTTCTGGAGTTGATGTCAGAGCATAGATAGCGGGCATCAGAGAGAAAAAGTCAAATATGTCGTTTAAAATGACCCCAGACTTGAGTTTCTCGATGGTATCTGCGACCTCAGTTGTTTGTGCACTAGAAGGCGAGTATTGCTGCGCAAGTTCCAGTATTGTTTTGATAGGTATAGATCCGTTGAGATGAGCATGAAGTTCCGCCTTAGGGAGTGACTGAAGGAAAATTACGTCGTCAGAGCATAGCGATGCCAGAGCAGCAGCAGCAGGGCCCGTGATTTCTGACATTTCCAAGAGACGACTGAGGGATGGTTGCCGCTTAATCTGAGCGAGAGACTTATCAAAATCCGAAGAATGGAGAGGCGTGCGGATGGGGTAATGCTGTCGCGTCCCGGCCGTTCCGCTCAGAGGACCTTAAGAAAGGATTAAGAGAAGATTTCCACATTTATAGACGGTGCTCTGTCCTGGGCCCGGGGAATGGTGTACGAAATAAAGAGGATAAAGTCTGTTTTGAAGTGTTGATGTGTTCTAATTTCTAGCCGATTTGACTCAAACATTGGACACGTACGTCGCTCGCTACGACGCTGGTAATCGCGCGACCCATTAGCACAGTATCAACAAATTTAAACAACCCCATGCTTAAGCCTTCGTCTTCCTCCCAATAGTCAACGTTGATTGACTGCGCCTCCCGCCGATCTACAGGCGTGCTCATCACCACCGCCGTCCTAGACCCACTTGTCATACCAATTGAACATCAATATTCAACCATCAATCACAAGCTGTGCAACCCTAACTCGACTCCAGAGCGGCCTGGACTAAGAAAACACCCACTCTTAGCCCCACTTTCCCCGTATATCCTTTCTCCCTTCACCATCGATAACAACACACAACCGTAGGCCGGTCCACCGATATCTGTTATCGTTGGCCAATGGAACCCCATGGGTGCGGATACAGATATGTTGGACTCGCTTCTTCGAAGGAGGGTTACCAGTGTACTCGCTCATCCAGCCGTCGTGCGCGCAGTTTGAGCATGGTGCATGGATTGGACAGCAGGGGAATAACCAGAATATCGATGGATCCAGTACCGGACGTATCACGAATGTCCCACCACATTCAGCTTATGAACGCAATGCCTGCCCCGTCCTGAGATTTCTGGTGATGGACAATTCTTCTGCCAACATGGCACGATGGACACGCTAGCACTGCGCTCTGGAGAGGACCAAGGACAACTGTTCTGCCCGTGACTATATGGAACCAAGACCCCCCGGGGAGTGCCGGGACCCCTGCCACCCCTGCCTCTTGCTCTGTCCTGCACCCGACCGTCTGCACCTGCTAAGGTGTACCACTACAACGAGCGCGACGGTAAATCAATAAAATAGCTGGTAATACCCTGGGTTCGCATCCGATCAAGGACCGACATGTTCACTTCCTGTAAGTTCATTGACGTCTTGAAATTGCACTACAGGCTAGGTGTCGATCCGCATGCGAGAATAAGTATGTCAGTAATCCTAGATCTATAGCGCCAGGTCAATCCTCCAGTGTACCGGCGGCGTTGAAAGTATTTAATTAGATCATACAGATGTCGAAAATACACACAGAGTACAAATGTTCCACATATTCCATTCTAAGCCCCTCGAAAAATCGAGTACAGCTCGGATACATATCTTGATGACCCATCTTACTTCATTCCAGGTCCGACTTCCTCATGCTAAACATGGAATTAATATCAGACAGTGACAATTCCTGGACGAGGGCGTACTAACTCAGGTCTGGTGCGCCTGCAATACAGCGGGCAGGCGCCGAGAACGGTTTGCTTCTTCTAAGGAATTCGAGATGCCTGTTGACTTTGTGCCACAATTGTGGGACGCTGCCGCTTGCACACATAACTTGGTCGACGGCAGGAAGCATGCAGAAAACGATGCGAGCAACAGCTTCAACATCTACGGCCTCCAGCTCACACGAGCCCACAATCAAATTTTTCAGGGAAGTATGCTGGAATGACTCAGCTTCAGGCTCTATGTCGATATTCCGAGCATCGATCGATACTTGCAGGTCCTGCAGGTTCGGGCATAGACGAAGCGCCGCGAACAACCCGCGGAATGTAAGGGTAGTTGGATAAAGATGCCAGTTCACTAATGATAGGGAGTGAATGTGCGGCCAACTTGACATGGCCTCAAAGAGCAGGTCATTATCGAGGTAGATGGAGCGATGAGTAGATAGCCTCAGCGTTCGCAGTTGCTTGAAGCAAAGAAACTGTCTGACTGCTGTCGACGAGTCACTAGTGTGATCCTGAATTCTATTGCGGGAAGAGATGTTGATGTGTTCAAGGGTCTGGGATGCTTTGCACTGTGAGAGTGCACAAAAAAACTGCTCAGCCTCTGCCCAAGGTAAAACACGGACATGCATTTCAAACTCCTTTAGCGAAGGGAATTTGAAATGTTGTACTATTGCGACAGCGGCTGCCACTTCTATTCCACAGAGCGAAAGAGTCTTGAGGTTGAGGAAGGTCGCAAAATTGAGGTTGTCCAAGGGATGATGATTCATGCGCGCTGTGAGAATCTTCACCTCGACAAGGGTGGGGATGGTGGAGAGGTGCATCCATGCTGCCGAATCGAATGGCGGACATCGCAGACGTCTGAGTTTCTTGCATGAACGAATGGTTTCAGACAGTTGCGTCCTGTCGCTATCCTCCAGGATGGTAAAATCCTCGACATCAGCACAGTGTGCCCCGATATATTTCAGATCTAATGGGAGTTCCGACACATAACAACGGCGCAGCGTTGGGGGCAGGAAAAAGCGCAGGTCTCCTTTATTCGTGCATTGAACCATCCAGGATAACGACAGCAATCCTGGGAATACGCATGTCTCAATGGGAAGGGCTGTAAGAAGGTGAAAATAATTGTTGGCTGATATGGTTATATTGCGCACGCGGGCGGAATGACGCATAAATTGATGAAACTCGTGCTCGGCTAATGGTTCAGCGTACTGGGACCAGGAGTACTGTGTTTAGATGCTCGATGAGCGAACGAACAAACAAACAAAAGGACAGAACGATGAGGCTGCTTTTAATACTCCGCACTGACCTTGGACGTAGGATCGTATATCAGTGGATGTAGCCTCGTCACACAGCCTAACAGTGGTCGTATCCCAAGCATGTTGGCCCAAAGCAAATCCATCGCAAGCTCGTGGAAGGTTGTGCATGTCAAGGCGAGCGATGCAAGGGATTTGCGTGTCACTGATTGAGTCCAACCTAATGTTTCCAGTGAAGTCGGGAGGTGATTCAAATTAATAAAGATCTCCGCGAGGATTTCCGAGACAAACAAAGCACGATGCATTTCTTTTGCTATGTCGATGAAAGAGGTGTATGTCAGTTGTGACTTGTATGCAGTCCTGCATCAATATTTGTCGTATGACTAGCGGAGATTTGAATCTCAAGACCGCGAACCTGCCCGAGCAACATGAACCTCCTATTTCGATTTTCAACTGCTCTGTTCACCTCGGGAAAAAATGGCACTTCCATCTATCAATCGTATGTTCATAACTGCAGCTTGGTTAGAGTCTATTCTATATGGTATGCATCCTTTTTCTGAGCCGTGTGGGGATTTAGTACTGATAATTCGCCTGACAGGAGTCAAGTGAGTTTGGAGTGGACAGACTCACACAAATTGGCTTATTTCATCAACAGCTGTGTGCTTTTCGGCGTATGTATGTATGCCTTGTTTCACCGGTACAAACCGCTGCATTGGTTCGTATCATTACTTGTGAAATTATTCGCCAGCATTCACCATTGAATCAGGATCAACACTCTTTCATGCGTTTTCCACATTTCAATCGCGACAGCACACAACATCCTCTCCCTTTTGCTCTCTCTGGAGGCTTTTACAAATCCTGCTATAATATCCATCCCCGACGGAAGTAGCATATACTTGTTCAAGAACACAACCTTGACGAAGACGATGGGGGGATTGTTTCTTCTCAACGTGCATATTATATTTGTCATAAATCGCGTCTCATTGTTACTTTTTCAGGGCTTCGCTCTAAATTTACTGCTAGTGAGTAACTGCTGGCTTGTGGAGATGTTAAACCTGACATACGCAACAACAGATATGGAGGTTTTATGTGGTTTGGAGTCACAAGTGGATCCTTGCTTTTGTTTTGGTAAGAGATCTGATTTCATTTTACTTATTGTGCTTCTTACGAGCGGTGATACCGTTAGCTAATTCTGGAAGCTGCACAGTTCGGTAGGCTCGTTAACTTAAATTAACTATCAAATCAAGCACTCACGTCAACCATACCCCTGTTAGCTACTGGTGTCGCAAACTTTGCCATGGTGATAATCGATCGCACATTTTCAAATACTGCCCTAGCTTTAGGGAAAGCTAGTTGCGCATGCAATCTTACTCTTACTATCAGTGTCACGTCCGGAATCGCATATCGTCTTTGGAGGGCGGGCCGACATGTATCTGGGCTGGCTGTTCACAATTCCTACAAGGCTACCATATATACTATCATCGAGTCCGGTGCGATCTATACCAGTAGCATCGTGGTATTGTGCGCTCTGTACCAGGCCGGGAACGATGCTTTTATCGTGGCAATTAATGTTGTTACCCAGATTGCTGTAGGCACTTTACCTTGCTTCTTGTTTTTTAGTCTCACATTCTTCTAGACCTTGACCCCGCTTTTGCTCATCGCCAGTTTGAGCTTTGGCCTGATGCACAGAAATAGTGCATATTACGAGACATCAACACCAACGGGGCCCGCTTTCGCTCGACCAATCCAGGTCACAATTACCCAGGAAACACGTATCCACCCTATAGACACTATGGATTCTAGTACACAATCTAGGAAGAGTCAGAGTATACGGGCATATCATGACGACACATAGTGACATTGGTTAGAAGATTCGCATGGATCCATGCTGCGCATGCATTGAGAACTCAGGGAAGATCATCCAATTATTCTGGTAGGAAGAACTGACAGCTTTTGAACACATGCGCAACGACGTTCCATACGAGCACTCCCTTCCTATTTTTGCCATCATTCTATCCAAGGCCAGACATTCAAGTTACCGGACTGGCCCCACGATTTATGTGCGAGTTCCGGAAGTTTAGCGATGGGCGGAGCCATGGATCTACGGTAGCATGCTAATAGTCTTTTTGACGGCGACCGTAATGGTAGTAAAAGGATTGGTTGTCACGTGACGTAGTATGAAATATTTGTGATCAGCGCTGTAATGCAGAATCTAAATCCTGCTCCTTCTGAAGTCCCGACTCCTGAAGCATCCAACATGCCTGAGATTAAGATTCTCAAGCGACCGAGGGAGGAAGCTGTCATAACTCAGCGGATGTTCTTCAAAAAGACTGCCCGAGGAAAAGTTATCAAAGGTACTTCACAGGTTCATCTCATCACGATGCTTCATCTGTTCAATGCTGGTTCTCCTTAGTTCTACGCGAACGGTACCTTAGGGACGATATATCTTGTGGCATCGACGGCTGTAAGGCATGTGATGCAACCGCGCAGACTGTCTTACCGCGTTCTGGGGACACCACCCACAAAGATTTCCCCACTGGGCACTATATCCTGCCCGACACGAATGTATTTCTTGCACAGGTATGCATACGAGTACGAGTTCATGTACGGCACTGATGCTTTACAGATGGACTTGATCGAATCCAATTACTTCACACCACCCATCATCATCCTACAAACCGTTATGGAGGAAGTTCGTCATCGGTCATTACCCTTGTATAGTCGCCTCAAGGCCCTCACAACAACTGACGAGCGGAAAGTATGGGTGTTTTACAACGAGTTCAGGTCGTGAGTCATCTTCATGAATGCACTTATATTGTCAAGTTTCGCTTTGTCGCGGTTAACAATATGTTGCTTCACCACCTCCTGTTCCGAACCGAGCCCAGTTTTTGATCTTGGAGTCATATTTCATACCAGTTTCCAATCTTGGCGTTCTCATGAAGCGTCACAAATTTTCCTCATTACTGATATATGCGTCATAGAGAGACTGCCATCGTGCGAGAAGATGGTGAGACGCCGAACGACCGGAATGATCGAGGTCGGTGGTACTCAAATTTGCATTCCCGAGTATACCGATAAAAATTACATAGGTATCAGGAAAGCTGCAGCGTGGTACAACGCGCATCTGACACTGGCACAGCCTCCGATCCGAGGCCAACCAAATTTAGCGCTAGCCAAAATTGTATTGATTACAGATGACTTTGCCAATCGCCAAAAAGCAGATAAGGAGAAGATTCCATGCAGTTCAGGTATGTATTGTTTGATATATACTTCACCTCACTTTCTCAGAGAAGTTTCGAAGTGCGCAATTATGTGGACGGCATGAAAAACTCAGATCAACTTCTCGATCTACTTTCGGCGACTGGCTCAGACGAAGTAGAACCTACCAGAGCTGTTGCAGGGCGTACTGCCCTCTATGCTAACGTGCGCTGAATATGGCTTTGCAATCTTTTGACACTTATATCGCGCTTTGCAGTATCTTCCTATGTCCACTCTCGTGGCGGGAGTCAAAGCCGGTCAATTTCATCAAGGTCACTTCAATGCAAATCAATATAACTACCTCGAAGTTTGTGACGAATGCCACCACTCATGCCAGTACTAATTTCTTTCAGGGTACTGTTCCTGTTCCTGCGTTCACAAAACCTGTCCTTCTAGTGGGCAGGGAAAATATGAACCGAGCGGTTCAAGGGGACGTCGTTGTGGTCGAAGTATTCGACGAAAGACAATGGAAAGCACCGACTGACGAGGTTATCGACCAGGAAGGCAAGCCAGCTTAGTTAGACTGTCTAATTAAATATTCATTTTTCTTCTCAGCGACACTCAAAAACGATGATGCAGAGGATTCAGAGGAAGAGGGCGACGACCTGATGGTGCACGAGCATGAATCCAAGGCTCTTCGTGCTGAGCATACGAAAAGGCCTCCTGCAGAAAAGCAACCGACCGGTCGAGTGGTCGGCATAATTAAGCGCAACTGGAGAGCGTATGTTCATCTCCTACTATTATATTGAGTAGGTTTATACGTGCTTTTGACCCAGATATGTTTGTCACATCGACTCTACGAGTCTCACTTCAAGTAATGCTACATCACTCGGGCTTCAAACAGTGTTTGCTACTCCAGTCTCGAGACTTCTCCCTCGCATCCGGCTACGTACGCGCCAAGCACCATCACTCATTGGAAATAAAATATTGGTAACAATCGACCGGTGGGAAATTACTTCTCGTTATCCGGAGGGTCACTTTGTTCGTACGCTCGGAAAGGCAGAAAGCAAAGAGGCCGAGCAAGAGAGTCTCCTGTTGGAGTTTGAGGTGCCATATAGGCCCTTCGGAAAGGCGATTCTTGACTGTCTGCCTCCAGAAGGCGAGCAATGGGTTGTCCCGCCTAAGAGTGCAGCAATTCCGGAATGGAGAGATCGTGCGGACTTGAGAGATCTCATTATCTGCAGTATAGATCCCCCAGGTAATGCCTGTTGCACACTATAAAACAGGTATACTGACTTCTCGGACCAGGCTGTCAGGATATCGATGATGCCTTGCATGCACGTCGTCTGACGAATGGAAATATCGAAGCTGGCGTTCGTAAGTTTACTTCTTGCTGTTCATTAAGTTTACTCTCATGATTGTCAACAGATATTGCGGATGTGTCTCATTTCGTCCACCCAGAGACTGCGATGGACAGCGAAGCTGCTGCACGCGGATCTACGGTCTACCTTGTTGACAAGCGCATCGACATGTTACCCGCGCTTCTTGGCACGAACCTTTGCTCCCTCAGGCCGCATGTTGAGCGGTTAGCGTTCTCAGTCATCTGGGTTAGACAAATTTCTATCATGTGCTTACTAGGGTATTTGACTGAACTTGGTATAGGAAATGACCGTAGATGCCGAAATAGTAGACGTCCGTTTCACCAAATCTGTTATCGCATCCAAAGCTGCTTTCGAGTATGGAGAGGCGCAACTTCGAAAAGATGATCCGTGAGTGAGAGATCTTTCGACCTACTTTATTATAAAGCTGACGATTCGACTGTAGAAAACTAAATGACAACCTCACGCAAAGCATCCGACTGTTGAACTCCCTTGCGCAGAAACTGAAAGCCAAGCGGATGGCGGCTGGCGCGCTCAATCTTGCATCGCCTGAAGTCAAAATTCACCTTGACAGCTCCGAGTCATCCGATCCGGTAGATGTGGAACAAAAAGCGTTACATGAGACGAACTCTCTGGTTGAAGAATTCATGTTACTGGCCAATACCAGCGTGGCGAAAAAGACTCAAGAATCTTTCCCGCAAACATCGGTACTGAGGTATGCTTCTCTTGTCTGCTGCTATATGCACTTTCTCAACCTTTCACAGACGGCATCTGCCGCCACCCCCCACAAACTTTGAGAAATTGCAAGATATCTTGCAAAAGCGAAAGGGACTTAAACTCGACGTTTCCAGCTCGGGTGCATTGGCAGATTCTCTTGACAAATGCTTAGTGCGTTGTTTACAGTCATTCATACGACTCTGTCAATTGTTCACTGCCATAGGATCCAAAAGAACCTGCTTTCAACACATTAGTGCGCATCATGGCGACGAGGTGTATGCTGTCCGCAGAATACTTCAATTCTGGCAGTGTCTCTCGAGATACGTTCGGGCACTACGGTCTTGCAAGCTCGATTTATACGCATTTTACCAGTCCTATTCGTCGCTACGCGGGTATGTGACCCGTGCAACACTCGCCACTCTCCTTGTATTTACGCTTACATTTCTCAGATATCCTTGTGCACCGCCAGCTCGCTGCCGCTATTGGTTATACACCACTGCATCCGACTCTTCACTCCAAAATGCACGTTGAGCGCATCATGGAAGTTATCAACAGGCGCCACCGGATGGCACAAATGGCAGGTCGCGCCAGTGTCGAATTCTACGTCGGACTTGCCCTCAAAGGTCGTAATGAGAGGGAAAAGGAGGTGACAGAGGATGCCTTTGTCATCAGGACGTTCCGGAACGGTCTTGGGGTGTTCGTGTCCAAGTAAGTTCCGTTCATCGTCAAGCGTCCGAAGCTGACTTGCTATTCCTTAGGCTTGGACTCGAGGGTCTGGTGATGTTCAAGCGGGACACTCAGTTTGATGCGGAGAACTACACTATTGGTGTTCCGTCGTCTGATATTGGACGACCGGATGTGACGATATCTGTCTTTGACAAGGTGACTGTGAGGATCGAGGTTGAGAAGGATAGGAATACTCAGAGGGGGCGGGTTAAGATGACGCTTGTTAGTCCTGTAGATTCGAGGGCGTTGTAATTGCATGGGTTGAAGTCCTTGGGGTTTGAGTCTGGCGTGATGCCTATAATGCTCCCAAGGGAACTTTGTGCGATACAAATTGACTTGCATCAGAACGCGATGCGCCACATACTCGCTGTCCTCGAAGACAAACCATTAGAAGCGTGTTCTAAACGACTGGACAAACAAGTAAGCCGTCTACATAAACGCTTGATGCCCCATAACAGGCAAAACATTTGCGGCGTGAGCGAGACAGGGACGAACATCATCGATACAGCAAGCCCGATCAAACATTGAATCAACCGTACACTGGCAATCAGACAGAAAATCAGAAAGAAAGAAGAGTAATTGCGGCCAGTTAACAGTAACGGCGACGAGGCATGAATGAACGAACAAAGCAAGAAGCATATAGTACCACCAGCCAACTACAAAATATACAAAGACATTCATCACGCTCAAAAACCCGCTAGGCACCATCTGAAATGATGCTCCCGATACTCAATACATTTTTCTTGCCCTGCAGTCCCACCCGCGCATCGTGCTCGAACGGCGCGCGCGACAGCTGGATCAGCGGGTACGCCCCTCCACCTGGGGCGTTGGTGTTCCCAGCTACTGGTGACGAAGCGTCAGATGAGGACGATGAGGAGGAAGACGCGTGTTGGCGCGCTGAGGACGATGGATGTTGGCGGAGCGGGGCAAGTTGAATGAGCCCGTGCTCGCTAGCTGATGAAACGGAGTTGGAGTTGCTCCATGTAGACGTGGGAGAGGCCACGGGCCACTCGTGGTGAGAGCCTGCGGTTGGGTGCTGGGAGGGCGGAGGTGGGGGAAGGTTGTACCCTCCAGCGGATGCCGAGGCGTATGTGGATTGTTGGTGCCGTGAATAGGCTTGTTCATTAGATGAGCTGGTGTACGGTTGGTTTGCGTATCGAGAGGGGGCTGGAGAGGTAACGCGAGGGGGGTGAGCCTGGGAGTGAGTCGAATTGGATGGTTGGTAATAGTCGCTTGCGCTGGAGTTTGGGTAAGGCTGTTGATGGTTGAACTCATATGATTGGGTATGAGATGGTGCGGACGATGAGTAGGGTTGTGGATTGGCAGGAGGGGTAGGGGTGTTCCATGATGGAGGATGAGCGGAGGACTGACTGGAAGGATAGTAGGATGGTTGTGCATGATTGTGAGAAGGTCCAGACGAGGCAGCTGGAGATGACTCATAGTATGAATCACCATTTGGACTGGCATACTGCGGCTGCGGCTGCTGAGGTGGGTATTCATACCTAGACTGTGATTGTGAGTATGGTGTGGGTGCAGGGTATGTGTTGGATGGAGGTGCTCCATATTGCGACTGAGGTCGTGATGATGAAGGGTATTGTGAGGAAGACGGATGCTGGTATTGGCTAGAAGTAGTTGGCTGGCTGCTGTATTGTCCAGCAGCAGGATATGATTCCTGGAAAGTGCTGGATGTCGCGCTCTGACTGTCATAACCGGATGGATAAGCAGTGCGCTCATACGCTGTCCGTGAGCTTTCGTACCCCCGCTGATCTGGTTGTTCATATGATCCCCTTGAAGTCTCGAACGGAGGTCGTTGATTAGGACCCCCTTCGTAAGCAGACCGTGGAGAATCAAACGCGGAAGTACGGGAAGCCTCGTATGTTACTCTGCCCTGCGAGTTAAACACGGGAGTGGCTGATGACAAAGGTGCAGCCTGCGAAGGGGGATGCATAGTTTGCCGTTGAGAGACTGCGGAGGACGCAGACAAGATAGACGGCGGTGCGCTGCGGGAATTCTCAAACGTGGCTGCTGCAGGCGGGGCTATCAGTTGCGCCCCAGGTGGTGGCGGTATTGAACCTCCCAGACGCGAGCTTTCATAGCTGGCGCCGCGAGGTGGTGGAATGGTCCCACCTGCAGTAGTAGATGGTGGTGGGTGAGTGGGCGCCGGAAGTTCGACGCCACCTGGTGCACTTGGAGCACCTAGCATGGGATCCAAGTTTGTCGATGATGGCCATGCGGGTAGTCCCACTAATGACCCAGTAGGAGTCTGTAAGTCTGGTGCACCATTGGAAGATACTGTGCCGTGCCGAGGACGTTTGGAATGACCAGAAGAAGTGACTGCCGAAACCGGGGTATCGTTTTCGTCTTCTTCATTATTGTTATTCTCGGTATCGATTGGAGTAGTGAGTGCAGCGATAGGACGCTTGCGAACACGGATATCTTTGCGGATCCGGATCTTGATTCCTTGATCGGCTAGCGAACATGAAAGAGGTGTGGACTCTGATGAATGCAGGTCAGCATGCAACGAACAGTCAGCCAAGAAAGAAGCGTTGAGGAGTTAATTTGGATGATTAAACCTTACGCTCACCTTCCATACCAGGGAATTTCTTTGCGGTGTAAACATAAAATGGAGCAGAGTATATTGATTTACAGTGGCGAACGGTGTTGCTGAGGAGAAGTTAGGGACGTGGGTAGGCCGGTTAGTCAGCGAACGAACTCACCCTACGACTTCGAAGAGGCTGAGCTTCAACCGATAAGAACCCTCGGTTCTGACGCTTAGATCGGGGAAAACGAAAAAGCCAGCATCCTCGTTGCGATTTTCGGTATCTTTGAGATGGTAGAGGGACGATACAACTGAACCTGTCGTACACCGAGTTTTCCCATCCTGACAGGTGGCAATCAGAGAGAGGTTATCGTGATGGTAACATACTGACCTTTAGCCAGTGTAGTTCTGTGTCATCGTCAGGTTTTGCTAGACTTGCAAACATGAAGTAATAAGGGTTTTGAAGAAAGCTGTGAGCATAGCTAGGGTCCGAATCATCACCATCTAGGCGAGCTGGAGAAGGGGGTTGACGAGTTTGTGGGTCGATAACACGAAGTTGAATGATGGGGGGTGGGTCGATTGGACGTCGGTCAGCTAAGCGAGGAGAATAAGCTGGTGGTGTGAGAAGGAAAAGGTAGTTGAGGTACCTCCTACACCACACATACGAGCTTGTTTTGGCTCCTGCCTGACTGTAAGCTCATATTCCCTGTGGGGACGATTGAACATGTTAGTAAAGGGAAAAAGTGATGTAGAAGGGAAATAGAAGTAAGTTATCTGATACGAAGTTGAATAGGTGATGAAGGTTTAACTTTGATGTTAGGTGGAACCGTAGTATTGGAACGATCTTTTGCTGTGTGAAGTGGGAGCGCTGGAAGGGGACTTACAATCTGTCTCTCTCATGGTAACCTCTGTCACGATCAGGATAGGTATAGCCAGATGTGATAGGATGGTAAGTAGGTGGGTCCATTGTCGTTGAGCTCGTCGTCGTCGACGATGATGACGATGAGTATGTATCTTGATAGGACCTTTGTAAAATCGATGGTCTATTGTTTTTGCTGGCTGGGAACCACGTTCCAACCCAAACCTTGTTTATGACATGGCAACCCAACAACGCGGGTCCCACACACGTGGCAGTCAGACCTCTCACCCTGTCTACTTTCCGTTCCATCGGCCACTCACCCCATCCTTCAGTTTATTTTACCTTTAGTCAAGAAAACAAACCTTATGTCGATCCGTGGCTTACCATCCTACAACGGATCACTTCTACCACGCGAGACCATCAACTCGCATCCGTTGTATATTAAATCGACCTGGTTCCTGGCTCTCATGCCCTACCTAGTACGTGCCGTACGTACCCCACAGTAGCCCACAACTCCCTCACTTGTTCTCAATAATTTCCGCGAACTCCGCGTGCTAGCATCAAATCGGCTCTGGCCAGATATACAGACTGATCCTTCCGGACTGCCACGACGGCTTTCAAAACGAAAATAGTCGAAGCATATTTGTCAGCCGTAGACAGGCTCAGCGTTTAGTACTCACGCCAGTTCTTCGGACATTTCGCAACAAACAAGGCAAGGCGCGTGGTTCGCCAAGTCGTTCGGGGCTGTCATCCCCATCGGTATACACATCTTCAGATAATTCAGTTATGGAACTCAGAGGTATGTATCGCTGACATACGGGACGCGCGGCGGGACAAGCTCGTTGAGTCGATGTTCCCATGTATGCGGTGGCCTGCTAGACTATCTCATGGGAGTAGTCGTGTCCCGGGAGGATAAACTGATTTCAGGGAAAAGCTTCTCAGAGAGAACGTCAGGGCAGACTACAGTAGCACAGACAGCTGTAACATAGTACGAGTAAGGACACGTCGACATCCAGCTAAGAGACACAATCAAAATAATACACAAAAGAATCAAGTGCTAGACTTCTCGGCCGTGTCCCACGGTTCATCCGAAGATAAATCCACAACAGGAAGTTTGCTCCGAAGAACCATCATTTCTTCTGCACTGATGCTATATGATTGTAGCAGCTTGACGAATTCATCCAATGAATCCCGGTCCGCGCGTGCCAAAATGGTCAATTGCCTCTCGTACTCCTGAATCCGATTATGCACCCTTCCCCTCGTTGGTGAGTCGTGGTAGGACTTGATCGCAAGCTTGATGGCTCTACGAGACAGTTCCTGGTTTTCAGACACAAGATACAGCGTCTGCAGCACGAGAGTTAAGTCGATGATGTATATCATGAAGCGTTGAAGCGCCAAGCAGCTGGGAAGGAGACCTGTCGGTATTCTCTCCATGAAGGATAAGTAGCAGGACGTACGACTGCTGATACACCTCGTGAACCCATTTCGCGATCACAACACTCGCCACTATTGGTAATACGATGGGGGCAGCAGGTCCGGCCAGTGCGGACACGATGCCCGCAATAGTACCCACAATGGACAGCCCAAACGCGCTACGAACATTGGATGAGATGAAATTCACCATCGCGTGAAAGGCTGTCTTACAGGTTCTTGTTGGCATTACCAATGGGTCCGACATCTAGCTCATTGGCCATGTTCGCCATCAATATCCTGAACTCTGGGCTGCACAAGTACTGCGGGTGAACGGCATCAGAATATGCGACAACGAATAAAAAAGAGAGCCATGACATCGTTAGGGTCGTGGAAGTTCCACACCTTGACAATGTCAGTGTGAAGCACATGCAGACAGTCCCACATAGAACGGTCCTTGAATGGTGCGCTTGATCCGAGTGCCTTCCAGTATTCTAAAAGACAGACGTGAAGGTTCAGCTTCTGTTCAGTATCTTTGAATACAAAATCAAGACAGACTTCTCTTGCCAACCCTGATGCTGCGTAAATAGCAAGATAAGGATGAAGCAAGTAAAGCTCACTCTATCGATGCCTTTATCTTCAGTCCAGGATCCACTCGCTGAGGGGCAGACGTCGTCACCGACGCATCGGTCCCAACATGCTTACAAACGAGTTCTTCCGTGGTTCGGATCAAACGGGCCAGGGTCTCCTCGTGGTGTCCATTTGCTGTGCTCAGGATTGTATTGAAAACGCAAATAACAATCACAGCACATGCGGAATACCGGACCCTGCAAATTTCTCCAGGGGTGCGATACAGGCTTCCTTTAGCTTGTCTTCCGCGCTTTCCTTTATGCGTTTTTGGATGGCCGCATTGTCCAAACCCTTGATAGTTGACTTGTCCAGAGTTCGCTCCACATGAACGAGGAGGGTGTCGAATTTAGTGAAAACGACAACAATAGGAACTTTGACCTGCGTTAGTTGTGACCTGCGTGTAGCGGTAAAAATCCATCGACGTACTGCCTCCCAGTTCTCCTTTGCGCATCAGTGTGAGAAATTGCTCCACGCCGGTTTCTAGTAAGCGCCCGCCTGCGCAGGGTATTTCAAAGCAAAGCCTTGTATATAGTCAGCTTGTCATACAAACGCACTAAGATGGTGCTCTCACCAAACAGCATGTAGCCGATTTTTCAAATCAGGCATTACTCTCCGGCGCTCAATGAAATCTCGGACAACTTTCAGGTTGTCTATTTCCCCTGGTTCAAAACCTTTGCTATCGTGAAGAACAAATCTGTCGTTCTGCGGTGAGATGAATTCGTGATCGATGCTGGCCTCGCCCGGCTGTTCGTGCGAAGCCATCTATTGACACCATGAGTAGCTGGATACTGTGCAGTATCGTGATTAGCCTACCGCGTTCTTTACTCCGAATGCGTGGTTGATCAGCGAAGACTTGCCAACGCCAGTCTATCGGAAATACCGTGTCAAAGCTAGCATGAGATCAGCAAAAACCTGGTACCTTTCCTATTACCAAAATTCGGAACCTTGAAAGCCCCTAGCGTCAACCTAAAGAATGTTTGACAGTAATCCAGACTCACTGAGGACACTTCTGAAAGATTTCGTCAGTGGTAGGCCGGAGCTCCAGGGTTTCATCGGAGGAGTGAAACTGCTCGGTCTGCTAACATACGACTTAGATGATTTCCGACGGGAGACATGGAACCTTACTTCAGTTGTTGGATTCCCGGAAAGTTCGATGACAATGGTGATGTTTTCATGAACCTTTTTGTATTCTGCGCATGTAAGGTTGAATCCGTGAGCGATAAAGGCAAGAGCGTGATGGTTACTGTTTCACCTTGTCGTTCTCTTGCACCACATACGTGGAACATGTCTTTTAGTTCGAAATCAACGTCATCATGCTCGGTCTTCAGCCCAAGCCATTTCTTGTACTGCAGACGTAAGGACAATGTATCTCCAATAGAAAGCTTCCTGTGATTAAACACAATACCAGCTCAGTTGGGTACAGTTAGTTGTCAAGGTCGAGTCCTTACATGGGTGGAGAAAACGCCTTTCGCAAAACCTTTTCTGCCCCGCTTTTGATTGGCATGGACGACCTATGGCTAATCCGTACTTCAGCAGACTTCACATTCTTGTTCGAGTTGCTGAAATCGAGGGTAACACCTATTGGATATATCCAGTAGGATTCGTGATTCTGCTGACGAAATGACTTGTACCAGAGACGTAGAGATTTGAAGCGTCGAGGGAACTACTAGCCATAGTACTGAATCCTTATTCGAATTAGAGAATACTTTCCTTCGTCACGGCGGATTTATCTGAAGGCCGGGTGTAGGCCATGCGTCAGCTACGCAGAAGGGAGGTATCCTCGTGTAACACAGCCTAGCTATTGACGCGTACTCCCAGCTCGTTATGATGATGAAATGAAGAACATGTGGGTCCGGATCCGAGTCAAAAGGTGTGCTGTGTCGGACTTGAGAATATTCGAGGGTGTGCCAAAATATGTATGAAGGTTTGGAGCGAGGATACTGTGACTGATTCGAATTGAGGAGGAAGCACGGTTCCTGTAACTTAAGCCACCGTGAGACCCTTGAGGCATGATGGAATACCCCCTTGATTCGGATGCGGCTAGCTATAGCACTCAAGCGCCCCATGCACCAGCTTGTGACACAACACAGATATTCTTCTGTAATTTCGACCGGAATACATAGGCCGTGAAGGGACTGACTGTCACCGTTCTACGAGACTCGTGTATTGGAGCGATCATACCGTGACAGGCTAATTTAAATTGGATGATAAGCCTGGCGCTCCTGGATGAGAGTTGAAATCGCTTAGGTAGTATCTAAATCCAGTGCATTGTCAACCTATTGTCTAAGCATCTGCGGGCCAAGTTTTTACGGATTGTTTTATTACCTTGGCACCATGACACTGGAAGGCTTGATCGATAGCAGTAAGTCCAGGGCGTTAATATATCACATGTTACATTGTTATGATAGATATAGTTGTATAGTACAAGCGAGCACCGTCTGTTCCGGGCCCTGCTCACCAGCAAAACTATCCACAGAAGAAATGAATCGAGTGCTACGACCTCTATTTTCTCTATGATCCGTCCGGTGCCGACAAATCTACATGGGGGATCTGTTCCCGAAGTTTGGACACTTGTGCCGCATCGATCTTATAAAATTGTATCACCTCGATGACTTTCTCCATGATATCTTCATCCGCGACATCCAGGGCGGTCAACGACGTAACATAATCCTGAATCCAAGTAAACACTTCTTCCTTCATTGGAGAGGCGTCGTAGGCTTTGAACGCGAGCTCGATAGCCCTAAGTGTGAGTGCCTGACTTTCTGACAGGAGATAGAGTGTCTGCAACACAAGCGTCAAGTGGGCGATGTAGGCCATGGAGCTCTGAATCGCCGCACGGCTGACAAACAAGTGTGGATATCCTTTTTCTCACAAAAAAAAAGTGGTGCGTACCATGTCTGGTATACTTGGCCAACATATACGGCAAGTACGGCGCCTGCTGCGATGGGTGCTGCGATGGGTGCCGCAGGTCCCGCTGCGGCCACGGCGGCCACAATACCAGCAATAGCGCCCACTACGGACAACCAAGAACCTCTGTAAACATTCAATGAGATACAAATTCATCTGTCAGGTAAAAAAAGATCAGCCTACATGTTCTGGATGGGATTGGCACGTGTACGTTCAGCTGTTGTATCATTGACCATCTTCCTCATCATACCCTTGAAATTCGTGCCATGCAAGTGCTATGCGCAAATCACGTTAGGGCGGATACTACACGACGACGACAAATAAGACAGTCATTTACAGATTGAGGGTCATAGAAGTTCCACACGTCAACGATGTCAGTGTGAAGCACATCTAGACAATGCACCATCTGGTGGTTCTTGAACAATGCGCATGATGCAAGCGACTTCCAATATCCTGCAAGAAATCAAAACTTAGTTTGTATTCAGTAATTATCAACACAAAACCAGGACAGACTTTTCTTGCCAACCCTGACACTGCGTAAATCACAAGATAAGAATGAAGCAAGCAAGACTCACTTGATCGATGCGTCTATGTTGAGTCCAGGATGCACTCGCTGAGCGACGGAGCTCATCACTGCGGCCTCAGAGTCGGGAGCAGAATGCTGATCGATGCAGTGTTTGGTTTTTTCCACCAGGTCGCTGAGTGTCCCCCTGAAGTCTTCTTCAGCTGCAATATTATACTTTAGAGGCACGCATGAGCCTGTTCAAGTATTGACACGCACCAGAGACCGCAGCATAGGGAATATCAGGCCCTGGAAGTGCCTGTAGAGGTCCAACGCAGATATTCTGCAGCTCGGCTTTTGCTTCGTCCCTGGCGTGTTTCTTGATGACTTCGTCATCCGATCCATCGAGAGTGGTTTGAGCCAGAGTTCGCTCCATGCGATCGATGAGCATATCGTACTTAGTGAACACGATGATAACGGGAACTTCAACAAAGTGAGTTTCAACATAGCAGAGATATTAATTATCAATTCATTTACCGTCTCCCAGTATCCCACTCCTTTTCCATTCTAAGAATTCCTCTGCTCCGTTCTCTAGAAAAGGTCCGCCTGCACGAGGTATCTCAAAGCAAAACCTTCCGTATTTGGTCAGTCCACCACGACGGAATGGTCGAGATAGATTCCCTACCAAATAGCATGCAATTGATGTTCCGGAGACATTCCCTTCCGACGGACAATGAAGTCTCGAACTATTTCGAGGTTGTACCTGTCCCCTGCTTCAAAACCTTTGCTATCGTGGAGAACAAACCTTTTGTTCTGAGGTGACTTGAGTTCCTTTTCGATGTCGGCAGCGCCTGGCTGATTCTCGGAAATGATCTATTAATAGTATGAGTAGCTGGTCTCGTTGAGGTGTCGTGTTCATCCCACATTTTTTTCCACTCCAAATGCGTAGCTGATGAGTGATGACTTGCCGACACCAGACTATTTAAAAGTACGTCGTTAGCACTGTGCTGAGATCGGAGAAAGCCGGATACCTTTCCTATCACCAGAATTCGGAACCTTGAGAGTATCAACCTCAAGAATGGCACTTTATTATCATCGCGACTCACCGAGGACATTTCTGAAATATGTCAGAGCTAGTAGACCGGAGTTCAGCCTGGTTACGGTAATCTACGACTTAGACGGGTTCGATAGCAGACATGGATCCTTACTTCGGAAAGGGCGACGATGATCCTGATTTTTTTATGAAGCTCCACGTACTCTACACATGTGGGTGAGTGATTAAGGGGAGAGTGCGATTATTATTGTTTCACCTTGTTCTTCGTTTTCACTATACATTCGGAACATGTCACCTGTTTTGAGATTGATGTTTTTGATCTTCGTCACAAAGCATTTCTTGTACTGAATGTGCAAGGAAAACGAATCTCTATGAGAAAGCACCCTAAGGCAAAGATAAACAGAAGCAACTAAGGTGAGAACCAAGTACTTACATGGGCGGAGAAAACTTCTGTTGGAAACTCTTTCCCGCATCGCGTTGAATTTGCGAACTGGATCTGCCAATGCGTACTTCAGCAGATTCTATGTTCGTTCTCGACCTGGTGAAATCGATGGTGATACCTATCGGACATATTCAGCGGTGTTGATGATACTACTTGATGAAAAGAAATGAGTACCATGAACGGGGAGATGGGAGGAAACCGCAAGTGTGGCCATGCTAATTTGAGAGTACGAGGCTGAGTGGGTCACCTCGATAAGAGAACTATATATTTATATTGCAATTGAGCTGGAGTAGACGCCAAATTCCGACTGCAGAAACACGTGGGTCACAAGAACGGTATAGCTTGTGTCGCAATTTGCAAACACTTTGTGCGAAACTCACCTAGTTAGATATACAACTCGGGTCTACCTCTTTACCGTGACTCACCCACTGTGATGAAAGTCGTAGGTCAAATTTAACCGTGCGATACATATATACATAGTTAAACCCTGTTCCTGTTGAATCTCACGGTATACCAACTTGGGAGACTTGCGTAAACTCAGGTCAAATCTAACGTGCGATAGTTAAACCCTGTTCCCGTTGGATCTCACGAATATTGTGAAGACAAAGCTCTCGATCTGTGAAAACGCGCAGTACACCAACACTTCTCCCTGGATAAGAGATAAGATCAGTCGCTTGACAAGGGAATGGGGAGCAATCATACCCTAACTGATTCAAATTAGATGAAGCACGGTTGTTGACCCTCACCGTGCTTCTACCCTTTAGTCATGGACCCCATGACCTGGATCGATGATAGGCGCTTGGGCGTGTTGGCTTCGGGCTGGGTATTCAAATACCGGGTTCACCACTTCTCCCTCACATTTACTAGTACCTTTGCCCCTGGATGAGAGTTGAAATCGGGTCGCTTGCAGGGAATGGTCGATAAGTTTGAACGAGCGTACCGTGACTGATTCAAATTGGTTTTCGGTTCAAAACCGGTACCGTGCTTCTTTAAGCTGTTACCCTTTCTACCTAGTACTATGACCATGGCAGTGTCCACTCTTACGGATCTTTGTGACCCAACAAAGGTATTCCGTCACTTCCGAATCAAAGCCACTTCGAGACTCATCAGACTCCTTGTGTATGCCTCATGTAGTATGCACTTATGTACACCCATTGCCTACTGAATCCAAAATCAGTACATGCCGACTTCAACTCGGGTAGAATTCACCGAGTTCACACACTGCAATGATTATAAGGCTACCTACTAAACCAGCGCTTCTCCTTGACATTTACCTTCCCCCATGGATCCTTCAAAGATAAGAAAGAAAATCCGTCGCTTTCGAATCCTCATCATAGGGAGAAGGAATGCAGGAAAAACTACCATCCTTCGAAGAGTTTGCAACACACGGGACAACCCAATAATATATAACAGCGCCGGGAAAAAGGTGAGCATCATCATGCTAGTAGGAGGATGGTAGTGACCCATCGACATCAGATCGATCTTGCAACCATAACGGCATCCAGAGAGGTAAGGTGTGCTCTTATTTCATGACATGAACTGAAGTGCTCTCAGCGCGGAGAGCACGATATCGACAATGAATTGGTGTTTGAAAGCAACCCAGGATTTATCTTTCATGATTCATGCGGTTTTGAGGCGGGCAGCGCAACCGAATTCGACAAGGTCAAGGAATTTATCACCAGCCGTTCAAAGAAAACCAAACTAAGCGATCAACTACACGCTATCTGGTAATTGAAACTGATGAATCACAAAATGCGCTATCTCACGGTTCAACATAGGTACTGCATCCCGATGGATGACGCACACAGGTCGTTCACCGAAGGTGAAAAGAAATTTTTCTCTCAGTGCGACACAGGAACCGGTAAGCTTTCGCATCCCACCATCGTCGATGATGGACTGATGCAGAATCGCAACACTCAGTTCCAGTGATCGTACTGTTCACAAAGTTCGATGCCTTCTACGACGTGGCATACGCAGAGCTGAAGAAGAAAGGAAAATCGCTAAAGGACGCCGAAAAACTGGCCTCAAAACACGCCGACGAGTTATTTGCTAACGGGCCACAATTGGAGTTTCTCAAGAACGTCCGATGGCCTCCAAAATGTCATGTCTGCCTTCCTAGTAAGCCGGTTGATGGTCGAGTTGCGATGCATGATGACCGTTGATCCATTAGACATGAACAACGATGATGCAGATTGCGGACCACTAATGGAACGCACGGCTGGAACTCTGGGTACCAATGAAGTGCTAGAGCAGTTGTTCGTTTCGACCCAGCAGAGCAACTTGGAGCTCTGCGTGAAATATGCAGTTGACAGGTAACTACCCATGATCTGGTTTACCCGCCATGAGCGCTGACAACTGATATTGTCTAGAACACTCAAGAAATATTTTGACTCTAAAGAGTCTGAGGTTCATGAGGTGATGATAGCAAGAGTGGGCGTCTGGTTTCCGCATATTTCGGTAAGATTATTGGAAAGTTCAAAGAGTGCTCTCATTTAAGTTTGGGGTTTACTTGTAGGTTGTGAGTGTGTCGATCCTCGTTCGAGCTCGAGCCATGCTGATCCAAGTCGTCGCCCGCCCTTCGCAGCAAGTGAGTGTGTCGATCCTCGTTCGAGCTCGAGCCATGCTGATCCAAGTCGTCGCCCGCCCTTCGCAGCAAGTGAGTGTGTCGATCCTCGTTCGAGCTCGAGCCATGCTGATCCAAGTCGTCGCCCGCCGTTCGCAGCTTGTGAGTGTGTCGATCCTCGTTCGAGCTCGAGCCATGCTGATCCAAGTCGTCGCCCGCCCTTCGCAGCAAGTGAGTGTGTCGATCCTCGTTCGAGCTCGAGCCATGCTGATCCAAGTCGTCGCCCGCCCTTCGCAGCAAGTGAGTGTGTCGATCCTCGTTCGAGCTCGAGCCATGCTGATCCAAGTCGTCGCCCGCCGTTCGCAGCTTGTGAGTGTGTCGATCCTCGTTTGAGCTCGAGCCATGCTGATCCAAGTCGTCGCCCGCCCTTCGCAGCAAGTGAGTGTGTCGATCCTCGTTCGAGCTCGAGCCGTGCTGATCCAAGTCGTCGCCCGCCGTTCGCAGCTTGTGAGTGTGTCGATCCTCGTTCGAGCTCGAGCCATGCTGATCCAAGTCGTCGCCCGCCGTTCGCAGGGAGTGAGTGTGTCGATCCTCGTTCGAGCTCGAGCCGTGCTGATCCAAGTCGTCGCCCGCCCTTCGCAGCAAGTGAGTGTGTCGATCCTCGTTCGAGCTCGAGCCATGCTGATCCAAGTCGTCGCCCGCCGTTCGCAGTATGTGAGTGTGTCGATCCTCGTTCGAGCTCGAGCCGTGCTGATCCAAGTCGTCGCCCGCCCTTCGCAGCAAGTGAGTGTGTCGATCCTCGTTCGAGCTCGAGCCATGCTGATCCAAGTCGTCGCCCGCCGTTCGCAGCCAGTGAGTGTGTCGATCCTCGTTCGAGCTCGAGCCATGCTGATCCAAGTCGTCGCCCGCCCTTCGCAGCAAGTGAGTGTGTCGATCCTCGTTCGAGCTCGAGCCATGCTGATCCAAGTCGTCGCCCGCCGTTCGCAGGAAGTGAGTGTGTCGATCCTCGTTCGAGCTCGAGCCATGCTGATCCAAGTCGTCGCCCGCCCTTCGCAGCAAGTGAGTGTGTCGATTCTCGTTCGAGCTCGAGCCATGCTGATCCAAGTCGTCGCCCGCCGTTCGCAGCTTGTGAGTGTGTCGATCCTCGTTCGAGCTCGAGCCATGCTGATCCAAGTCGTCGCCCGCCCTTCGCAGCAAGTGAGTGTGTCGATCCTCGTTCGAGCTCGAGCCATGCTGATCCAAGTCGTCGCCCGCCCTTCGCAGCAAGTGAGTGTGTCGATTCTCGTTCGAGCTCGAGCCATGCTGATCCAAGTCGTCGCCCGCCGTTCGCAGCTTGTGAGTGTGTCGATCCTCGTTCGAGCTCGAGCCATGCTGATCCAAGTCGTCGCCCGCCCTTCGCAGCAAGTGAGTGTGTCGATCCTCGTTCGAGCTCGAGCCATGCTGATCCAAGTCGTCGCCCGCCCTTCGCAGCTTGTGAGTGTGTCGATCCTCGTTCGAGCTCGAGCCATGCTGATCCAAGTCGTCGCCCGCCGTTCGCAGCTTGTGAGTGTGTCGATCCTCGTTCGAGCTCGAGCCATGCTGATCCAAGTCGTCGCCCGCCGTTCGCAGGACGTGAGTGTGTCGATCCTCGTTCGAGCTCGAGCCATGCTGATCCAAGTCGTCGCCCGCCGTTCGCAGGACGTGAGTGTGTCGATCCTCGTTCGAGCTCGAGCCATGCTGATCCAAGTCGTCGCCCGCCCTTCGCAGCAAGTGAGTGTGTCGATCCTCGTTCGAGCTCGAGCCATGCTGATCCAAGTCGTCGCCCGCCCTTCGCAGCAAGTGAGTGTGTCGATCCTCGTTCGAGCTCGAGCTTTCCTGACCCAAGCAATTTGATGATCTGTCTGCAGGAGGTCGGTATATCGATTTTCTACTGACCTTTGAGTCGAGTTACTGACTGAAGACATTGTTGATCCGTTGACAGCTTGTGAGTATCATCATTCTCTGCCAAACTCCTGCCTTCCTCACTCTGATGCAATCGTTGATTTATTGTTAGGATGTGGGTGTATTGATCACACGTCGCCTTTGCGCTATACTGACCGAACACATCACGGTTCCATTGATAGATTGTGAGTTGATCCATCCACTATCAATCTCGAACCATACTGACTGAAGACATTGTCCGTCCATTCACAGTCCGTAAGCGTATCGATGCGCGGTCGAATTGGTGCATTACTGACTAGTGAAATTGCTGATCCATTTTGACAGTGGGTGAGTATGTTCATCTGCCATTAAGCTCGGACTTTCCTCACCGATAACATCGCTGATCTGTTGACAGGGAGTGAGTTCTTCATCGTTATTCTCATTCTCATTCGAGCTCTAGCTTTGCTTACCGATGGCATTCCTTAGAAAGTCAGTGTGCCAATCTTCCTTTGAATTTGAGATTTGCTTACCACCGAGAAACCACATCCTTTAATAGCGTGTGAGTCTGGAGCCTTGCTCGCGAACGACATCGCTGATCCTTCAGTAGGACGTGCTTCGTGACGATAACTGTGTTGAGATACTGTCTAGGTTACGTTCTGTGGTATGTTCAATTGACCACAGATTGTAACACACTTCTCATATCGCAAATCTGACAGGTCTCTGGCTCATCGCCCTTGGAGAACATCATTCAGCTTATTTCTGGTAATTTTGAGGCAACGTTGCGATGGTCCTGCTTATTGTTGTTCATTTAGCTGCTGTCATCATCTTCGAACACTCTTTCAATATTTTCGACAAGCGGCGCTATCTTCAGGACCTGCAAAAGTCTGATCCCTCTTTTTATGTCGCTCTGGAGCAGTACATGCCATCTCTATATGCAGCTACTGTCAGGGAAGCTGTGATCGCTGCCGTCCAGGCATATAAACAAGCTGTGGCCGCAGCTGCCCGCGCATATGAAGATGCCGTAGCTACTGCCGCCCACGCATATGACGAAGCTATTAGGACTGCTGTCTATCCACGTCGACCTACTTGGACGGCGAAGTTACCATTTGAATCGTCCAAGAGGAAGGCAAAAGAAGCTTTCGAGCGCTCTCAGGAGGAGAAAAAAGCTTTTGAGCGCTTCAAACAGATGGAGAAAGAATCCATTGAACGCTCTCAGGCGGAGGAGAAAGAATCTTCGTGTTCTCGAACGAAGGCGGAGTTATTCGAGGCTGTTCTTCAAATTACTTTGAATCATCGCCTACGTATGTTTCACTATCATGCTGTGGTAGCAGTCCTGCTGACCCGTTTGTTTTTAGCTAGACCTTAATGTCACATTTGTCGAGGTGGTTTCAGGAGTCGGAACTTGTACGAAATGCTTGTATGATCACACAATATGGCGGTATGGTGTATGCATGTTTGATGTACGTCGGTCAGCCTCAGCCGAGACAGCAATGAGATCGACTGGGCTTGATATACCCCCAGGTATCCGTGAACTGATTCAGATTCAAGTGAATTGAGGTCGGCGTCGGCTGTACTCCACGTGTTATTCTGCTCCACAACCTATCCTGAACTTGCGTACATGTTTTGTAAAAAAACAAAAAAAGTAATCTAGTTTATCGCCGTTTCAGAGTTACAACATAGAAAACGCACGGAACGTCTCTGTCAATGTCAGTAGCACTTGTTGATAGTTGAGACTGAGCAGTTAGCCTTCGAAATCGATGAACTGCAAGCAGTGGGCGCATTTTGAAGTCTTCGTTCTTTGCAGGACAATGCAGGACAATGCAGGTTGTTTATGGCTCTGGATTATGAAGTCAAGGGTGGAACTCCTGATGCATCGTACCTTCAGAATGTGCGCTCTGTGCATCCCAGGATCCACGGTCGGAACTACATCATTCTCGTTTCCACTAGTTTTGATTGACCGCGTGCATCATCCCCTGGAGTTCAAATGAGGGACCGAGACGTTCAAACCATGCTAATGGAATTTGTTGCCCTCTGTTCACAGCTTGTGAGTGTATTGATTCTCGGCTCAAGTCATAACTAATTGAAAATCGTCGCCCGCTGTTCCAAAAATGTGAGTGTGTTGATCCTCCTTTGAGCTTGAACCATGCTGATCAAAATCGCTGCCTGCTGTTCGTAGCATGTGAGCACGTAGATCCTCATTCGAACTCGGGCCATGCTGATCAAGGTCCTTGTCCACTGTTCACAGATTGTAAGGGTGTCGATCCTCTTTCGAGTTCGGACCCTGCTGATTGAAATCGCTGTTCACTGTTCACAGGCTGTGAGTGTGCCAATATCAGTCCTCCTCCGAGCTCGAGCCATGCTGATCTAAGTCATTGCCCAATGTTTGGAGCATGTGAGTGTCTAGATCCTACTTTGTGTTCGAGCGATGTGGATCGAAGTCGTTGCTCAATTGTTCGCAGGATGAGAGTCTGTTAATTCTCCTTTGAATTAGAGCCATGCTGAATGATGTTGTTTCCCACTGTTCGCAGGCTGTGAGTGTGTTCATCCTAGTTCGAACTCGATTCATGCTTATTGATATCGTTTCTTACCGTTCACAGGCTGTGAGTGTGTATATTTTCTGAGCTCGAGCCATCCTGATCGAAGTTTTCGCCCATTTTTCGCAGGCCGTGGGTGTGTAGGTCTTCCGAGCTCGAATCATGCTGACGCCCACTGACTGCAGGCTGTGAGTGCGTCGATCCTTGTTTGAGCTCAAGCCATGCTGATCGAAGCCGTTGCACTGTTTGCAGCTGTGAGTGTGTTGATACTCGTTTGAACTTGAGCCATGCTTATTGACATAAATTCCTACTGTTCGCAGGGTGTAACTGCATTGATCCTCTGTCGAGCTAGAACCTTTCTGATTCAAGCCGACGTTCACCCATCACGTTGACAGCAGGTGAGCGTATTGGTTCGTCGACGAGTTCAACCATTCCTGACTAAAGCAATTGACAATCTATCTGTAGGAGGTCAGTGCATCAATCCTCTACCAACCTTGAGCCACTAACCAACGAAATCGTCGATCCATTGAAAACTTGTGAGTATGATCATCCTCTGTCGACCTCCTGCCTTCCTCATTGATGCAATCGCTGATCTATTGTTAGGGTGTGGGTGTATCGTTTCTCTGTTGCCCTCGTCATACTGACCGAAGACATTGCTACTCCATCAACAGATTGTAAGTTGGTAGATCCACCATCGAACTCGAGCTATATTGACCGAAGACATCACCCATCCATCCACAGAACGTAGGCTCGTTGAATTGGGACATCACTGACCAACGAAATTGTCGATCCTCATTGACAGCTCGTGAGTGCGTTCCTCTGCCATTGAGGTCGAGCCTTACTCACCGACGACATCACTGATCCGTTGGCAGTCTGACTCTCTCGACACTCATTCGATTACTGTCAGGATGTCAGTGTGCTGATCCTCCGTCGAGCTCGAGCCTTGCTTACGACTGAATCTTACATCCCTTTAACAGACTGTGAGTGTTGATCTTAGATCCTTGCTCGCGAACGTCATTGCTAATCCATCAATAGGATGTTAGTTTCCTCATCCCTTTTTGACTTCGGGTCATGCTCACTGAATATATTACACATTGGCAGTATGCGAGTGTATCGATCCCCCACCGAAGTACGATATGAATACGTCTAACCCTCGTACACTCGGAACGGTTGGGTCGACGACTTATCGAACTTGAAATGGACTGGGACCTCAACCATTAGATACGCCAGCTCGATATCTAAGGCATCATTTCATATCAGCATCAACGTGCCAGATAACGGTGGATAACTCACTTTCCATAGGTCGACAGTGTCGACGTCAATATCAACATTCCATAAGAGGGCCATCTTCTTGGTCATGATAGAGCTCCTCAAAGCGCCGACAGTTTCCGTCCTTCAGTGTGGGTAAATGCACGCAGATCGTCATTCTACATCAAAACGAAACAGAAATGAGGTCAGTAGAATAAATTTATGTTCGCGGCTGAGGGTACGGAAGGTTGGATGATGTAATATCACGTGACTAATCTCAATTTCAAAGTCAACCTTGCCTCTTGATTCGTCGTCCAGTTGCTGCAATTCATGCCCACAACCAACTGACAGCAATAACTCGATTAAATCCAATATCGACGTTTGGTGTCGCGGTTCTTCAAGTACCTGTATGATCATCTGTCCATTGCCTCGTGGTTGCCTTTCTAGTATCTGCTATAACAGCTCCTACGGACGGACCATCCGGCGAGATTCAAAATGCCGTAAGGCGCTAGGCGCAGTGCGTGTCAACCACGTTCTGTCCCTTGGGTCTTGGCCCCAGGTATTCAAAAGGTCAAGCTCCGACCTTTGTATTAATGGCCGACCAGCACGGGAGACGTGTTCTGGATGCAAGACCACGTACTAGTACAATCTCGTATAGGGCCTGCATTGCAAGTAAGGTTCAATATCTGGTTAAAGAAAATATCTCCCGCCGCCCGCACCAGCACAGCACAATACGCAATCCTCGGCTCCTAAATCCGTCGCTATTCCTCTTGGTCAACGAACCTTCTCATGATTATAATATCGGTGTAACCATGGCGTAACTACAATGCGTGCTACTACCTCTCATCCCGCCATACCCACATTCGTTGGACAATGCTCCAAACGGTCAAGGTTTAAATGGTGACTATGTATGTATCATATGAGCTGAACTCAAACTGCGTCATGTTAGGGCATGTTCCGTTGTCGATATTTGGTTCCGAACGTTGGCGTTGGTGCTGGCCTTTTTTTTCTATTTTGACGTGCTGGGGGGTTACTTATATCTCCTCACCGGTGACCCGCGCTAAAATCCGTCGGCGACGCAGCCGCCCGTCATAACGTATGATGTTCCTCATTTGCTAACGCAGGGTCCTATCACGTACGCACGAATTCTCATTTGCTCATACCCCTGATTACGACTCGTGAAGTAGACGTGTTCTGTTTATGGAACAAAGTCATGTGAATGGTCCTTGTACGTGCTTTCGTACTTATGATTCTTCGTATGCAGGATATTCACTCGCACGAACCATCAATTGTAGGCGAGTAACGTCTTTCGAATGGACAGATCAGGTACACGTCAAGGGTCGTCATTCTTCTAATGCGGCCTTTTTCATTATTATATTCGGGAGTCCGACGAGCCACTCGAGTCATAATATACCTCGCATCATGGAAGTACGCAGGCGCGCGTATTCCATTTAAAAGTTGGCGTTTATGCGCTCTTACTCTAACTTCAACGTTGCCGCAATGGTTTAAACTTTAGTTCCTGGTTCTTCTGATGAGAATACCTACTTTTCACAAAACACCGCTCTTCGAATGACTTGTATTGTACATGTGCCATGGACTTGTTAACTTCTTGAGTTCTTCGTATCCGGACATGAGGTTATGAGTGTCAGTGACCTGCGTGTGATGTTGAATGGCTCCAAGGGTTGAGAATAATGTTCTAGGCGTCGAACCATGATTCCATATCAGAGTCTTTGAAGTATGCAAGTACCGACACTGGCGGATGGAAAAATTGCAGTACCCGAAAATAGGCGTTATGGTCAACGCCGCAGATAGTTTATCTCATGTCCCATATACATACGGCCATGCACTAGTGTTCTTTATTTGATGCATATGCTGTAGTACGACAATCTAACCAAGTTCAGACGACATTGTTGATTCTCTGGTTCTAGACCTTGGAAGCACTAGCGGCGAACATTCATTCATGATCTACGAGAACAAAACCAACAACGAGGACTACTTTTATTCACGGTGTCCTCCTATCTTACGACCGCTGAGATGAACATAAAGTGCGTACGTTAATAACTGCGTGTAAATTCCGCAGTACGTCGATCCCGATCGAGGCTTAAAGTGATCGATGTGAGTTGCGGAACTTGATCGTAATGTATGACCTGGGGGTGGGAGGGGAAGCCTAGCTCGTTAGGACTAGGCTCCACCTTGATAATTATAATAAGCTCGCGATAGTGGAGTATTGATGACGAGTCGGACCGGGGACAGTAGTGGTATCGAATACATAATTGGGCGTGCTGTATGATAGGGCGAACCAGTCAGCATCGCCAGTATGGCGTTTATGTTTATTCGTAGGACGTACGTTATTGGATTAACGATAAGCAAAGTCGAAAGAAAGGAAACTGACTTAGTGGCTGAGCGAAGAACCTATCATATGCCGTATGTTGAACTCAGCTGGTCGTACTACTCCACATATGTACGTGTCAGTCGAAGACTGCTTTTGGTAGCGAGTTTCCCAAGGGACGATTATTTGGTAGGAATGACTTACGGATGGGTGGGGCTTGAAGGGTCGTATGGTTAAGGCCCCGTGGCGAGTAACTGACGTTATGTAGGATCGGAGTCCCATAGGAGATATTAGGGTGCCCTGACGGTGGCGACGCTGTTCATGAAAGGAGTAGGGACGTTCCCCCACACGTATTAGTGATCGCGGTACATAAAAGAGGGCGGAGATCGTCGGACGTGTGAGGGGAAGTCATTTTGTGCGCTGGAAATGGCTGAACGTTCCAGAATATGAAATGGGACTTGTTCCGCCCGAGTGACGATGAAGGTGGGCCACCTGGCTGCTCACGAGTGGTGGAAGAGAAAGGTGTGAGAGCGGATTGTTCCTTTGTCGTTCGATAGCCATACTTGGAGAGTGAAGGTATGTGAGAAGGGGAGAATAAAATGCTAGTGGGACGACGGTGATCAAGGACAAGAGTACGATCATATGGATGAGGTTGGTAGATGAAAGAGGACGGGAAGAATCGGCCGGCGGCAAAGAGAGCTGTGGGAGTGAAGAAGAGAAGACCGGGCACTGTGCGGCACGGTGGGGCTTTGGACATTGAGCGAAATGACCGCGGGATGGCCTCGAGGCAGTCAGTTGGTTGAATGACAGGGGTATAACCTGAAATGGGAGTGAGGCTGTGCAGGTATTGGTTTAATTAAGGATCAAGTCGTCCGGGGAACCGGAATTGTAGGGTACAGGGCATTTGAGATTGGGTTTGTTGTGGAGGAGATGAAATAGCATCGTGAAGAACATGAGGCGAGTACGTATCAAATTTTGACTTGGAGAAGAGTCATCATCCAAGTTCACTCCAGATGAATACTTGATACAATACAAATTTATATTCCCTTTGCAATTGGCTTGTCGGGACACGTTGTCCAGGCACGGATACCCGGTACGATTCAATGGGGGGGGTCAAAACAAAAAAAAAATTAACAACAATATCATAAATTTTTAACCAAATGAAAATTATTTGATGGCAAGCCTCGTGCTACCAAGTAAGCGATACCGATCTCGTAAGCACATCAGACTTTTACGCCTGCGTTCCCCGTTCCAATCAAAGTCTTCTTATACTCTGATCAAGCACACACCAACTTAACGTTTTACTTGCCTCGTTGTTCCTCTGGACGTTCACCAGTCCATGCCGTCCATAGTCAACCTCAAGTTCAAGGTCACTCCACCACTCTCCAATTCACAAAAGCGCTAACGCTAACATCATTCCTGTGCATATAGGGTAACAAGTCCTTTGTTGCTTTTAGCAACTTGAGCGACACCGAGTCACTCTCAAAAACTTGGAAGGTATTTACCTTCCTCATATCTAATCTCCTTTATAATTTTCACTAACCCCTTTCATAGGTATGCACCAAAGTTGCATCGTATCTCGAGCAGGGCCAGCGCCTCGAGAATCTTTCTTGGCGACTTTGGCACTTGCAAAACCTAATGGTCGACACAGACAATGCGAAGTCTAAACGCGAATTCAAGAAGTTGTCAAAGAACATGGGCGACAAACTCGACAAGGAGAAGGGCCGGTATGTTTCCTTTCATTCCTTCTCTCACACAGTCCTACACTAACCACTTTCCATAGCGCTATTGAATCCCTCGAAGCACCTGACTTCAAACGAAACGCTTCAACTGACCTCATTCGTCAACGAGCTGTTGAACGCGAACGTTCCCGAGAGGCTTCCCAGAACGCCCGGCCCGGTACCATTAAGCGAATGCAGTTTACCTTCAGCATCGACGCTCCCCCCGGCTCATTCCCCGCAATCTCATCTTCATCCTATACTTTCTCTGGCGAAGGCTCCACACCCACAAAGCCGGATCTCAGGCCTAGCGCCGAGTTCAGAGAGGGTCGCAGGCGCAGGAGAGGTGACGGAACCTCTGGCACTAACCATATCTCTTCCGACCCAGCATCCAGCCAGAACGGTGCTTCTTCCTCTTCTACCAACGACTCGTCCTACGAAAAATACACGGCTTCGTATGAAAAACTTCATTTTCCTCCCATCTTCAGTACTTCGTTCGGCCCAACTGCTCTACTCTACTCCACCCCCACCCTATCTAACCCCATGAGCTATGGGGAAGGCGTCAGTGGTGGTTGTGCAACCGGCTTTAGCATTTATCGTCCAACTATTGAACTCCCCCTAGACGAGCTTCTAGGCGATGAGTACGATGGCGAAGACGACCGAATGGCCGACGCTCCCATTGAGCAACCAGACGATACCAAAGAAGACGGAAACGAAGAAGGTGACGTCGTCATGCGGTACGACGAATACAACGACAACGGTAATAATAATATTCCTACCCAGCCCGAGGGCGGGTCCCTCCTTAGCGGGTCTGCAGCAGCGGCTTCTACTGAACAAGATGTTCTGATGAGCGATTCTCGTCAGCAACCGCAACCGCAGCCATCCACTCCAGATCCGTTCCCAGTCCCGCAAGTCCCTTCTCACCCTCACACTCACGCTCAATCGCACCCGCGTACTCGCGGCAAGGACCGCTCCGGCAAGACGCCCACAAACCGTCCTGTACTCACCGTGCAAACATCTGCCACTAAGAGGACTGGTAAGGTTGGACGGCGTGCTTCTGGAAGCGTGAAGAGTCCCTCGTCCGCTGCTCCGTCAGCATCTGCTCTCAAGCACTCTGCTACTGCGACCGCTAAACATAGCGCAACTGCAACTGCGCCTGCTTCTGCTACTGCGACAAGTCTTAATCCACTTCTCACTGTTGGGGGCGCTGCACTGGGTGGAGGAAAAGCAACGCTTACTGCTCCAGGCGGCGTCAAGGCCGAGTGTAACAATTGCGGCGCTACCCATACCCCGCTATGGAGAAGGGGTTTGAACGATGAGTTAAATTGCAACGCTTGTGGTCTTTATTGTAAATTGGTGAGTGGTGTTTCGTCTATATACGCCATATGGACTTTGCTGAGCGAACGTCTCATTTCTGTTTCTAGCATAAACGTCCGCGTCCAAAGTCCATGCGTGCTAGTCATGGAGAAGGACGACGCGGTGGTGCATTGTCTTTGGCTTCTGCTTTGTCCACGTTGTCCTCGGTTGCAGCGCCGCCGCATTCTTCTGCTGCGACACCAGTTGTGGAGGTGGTGAGTCCTGGTGTGAGTGCGGCAGCTGCAAACGCAAGTGCTATTGCGAGTGCGAGTCCGAGTGCGGGCCCGAGTGCAGGTGGGAGTGCAAATATTGCTGCTGCAAGTTCAGTAAAGGGTGCTGGTGCTGGTGTAAGTTCGAGTTCGGGCGCAGGCCAAAGTGTTACTGCGACCACGATTGCGACTGCGACTGCTACTGCTACTGCTACTATGGGCATGGGATTGGGTGCAGGCAGGGGCGAAGTCGTAGAAATCATCGGTAAGTTCGATTTCCCTTCGATCGAATGGGTTTTCGGAAAGGGTTTTATTGGAACATATATTCACACCGTGTCTACAGGTAGCGCGCAGTGTTACAACTGCCACACGACTGCAACCCCTTTGTGGAGAAAGGACGACGAAGGCAAGACCGTGTGCAACGCGTAAGTTCTAATTTGCCGTTCCTTCCATATTCGTACTAACATCATACAGATGCGGCCTCTACTATAAACTCCACGGCTCTGCTCGTCCCATCAGTATGAAGTCCGATATTATTCGCAAGCGCTCTAGACACGACGCTCGTGCGCAGCGTTCCTCTCTCACTGAGACCCCAAGCGCTTCTAACACGCCAGGCACCCCCTCCGAGACGCCTTCTCAAACTCAGACGCCCTCCGCGTCTCCAGGCGTCTCACGTCGCCCTACCCCGTCGCCGTCGCCAATTCTAGCACCGGATAGCACGACTCAACCCGTTGCCTCGCACAATATGAGTACGGGGATGGGAGCAGGCGCAGGTATGGTGGGTACGGGTATGGGAGGCAGCAGCGAGTTAATGGGCGCACTGGGTGATACCTATGCAGTGTATAACCCCTTCCCTGGCCCATACCACCCAGACTATCTCAGCCAGAATTGGGTACCACCCAGTATGACTGGCATGAGTAGTGGCACCAACGAGGCTTTACCGTTCTCTGGAGTCGACAGCATCGACGGGGAAGTGGGTTCCAATGCGTCTTCATCTAACGCGTCGCCAAATTCCAGTACTGCCAGCAACGTTCCTAACAACAGCACTAGTACTACTGCGAACGCCAACTCGAACTCTAACATGACTGGGCGTACTGCCAAGCGCCGCCGTATGAGCACTGACAGCGTGTCAGAGCCGCCTAGCAGCGCGGTTTCTTATTCCTCTTATGGAGGGGACAGCTTCACAACGGGTTCTAGTGCGACAAGTGCAGGTACTTCTTCGTCTTCGCGGCGTAGCAGCATGGATTTCCCGTTTTTCAGCCCTTATACGGTATTTCGAGGAAACGGTAACAACGCTTTCTGGCACCACTCTAGCAACAGCAGCGGCGCTGACCGCAGCCCGCAATTCGTGCACCCTCCAATGTTGCCTGAGGCTTCTGGAACCTCTGACGGACATGCACATGCACATGGGCGTGGTGGGCATGGGCACGGGATGGATTTCCTGCACCCGCCAATGATGCTTCCGCAGGACGAAGAAAGTTTATTCGCGACTTATTTGCACCCGCCGATGATTCTTCCGCAGGAGGGTGAGCAGGTACAACATGGGTATGAGTATGGGCAAGGGGAGTACTACGAGACGGGGAATATGCAGCAGTACTAGACGGTTGGATGTCGCAGTCTTGCGTTCATTCCGTCTTGGAAGTCTTTTCCCTACATCTGCCCTCTCCTCCGTCTCATCATTTCCTGCATCAACATCGACATTTGCATCCCTCAACTGACGTACGACTCGGAACTCACTGACATGATATTACGCCATCTCACGACCATTTCTCTCGTTATTTCTCCTTTTGCAAATGTAGAGGTTCACGCATCGCATGGCTTTTCTTTGCTCCTTGCTCCTATTGGCGTCATCTTTTTTTACCCATCTATACTCTGGCACGCTCGCTCAAGGCACTCGCGCAGCTTAGACTCGTAGAGTCATTCCAAATCACGCAATTCATCTCCATTGTGTATCGTTGCTTTTTCCTACTGTAATCGACTCCATACGCGAGTCTCGTTAGCTCTCATGCCTTGGGATAAGGGTTCACGAGTGAATCTGCTTCATTGTACCACGTACTCTCCTTCCTTGTATTCCGTTTCCTTGCGTTCCTTTTGTCATTGTATTCCTTCACCCTCGTTTCCCTACCTCCATATCGCTGCCACAATTGTCGCCCTTCCAAACCCACCAAGCTTCTTTCTCCTCACACATCCGTATATATTATGGAAGATAACCCATCAACATTTAGCAGTTTCGTCAATCGTTGTTTGTATACTCACAAGATACGTACATAACATCGCGAAGGGCTTCGCGGATCAAGCCCCCCAATGGAGATGATTATATCTATCTACTAGGTTTAGACCGAGCGCAAGCATGAAGTTGGTGTTAAACTTGACAGTTTTTGGTGGTTCTCGCGCCTCTATCGTTGTGTGGAGCTGGTGTTCTAGACGGGGCTTATCATCTCAGGTACGCTGGTCTTGTGGTGTTGCTCAAATTTTCTGTAACAGTGCAATACCTTGAAGTGGCGAATCAATACGGCACACGTTTATCCTTTCTCGTTCCAGGGGGTAAAACCCAAATTCGGAATACACGAGTTGCCCCTCCGCCGAGCACCAAGACCGAATAAGTATGTACGACCAACTGCCAATGGAGGAACACATGCGCTTCTGGTCGTGTTCATCACGGCAGTCTAGGTCAAACATTGAACCTCGCAACATGGGATCGGACCGAGCGATTGGAGATTGGACAAATACAAGCCTCAGTCAACGCTCAACATTCTTTGCCCCTGTCCAAGTACTGCGCGGGGATCTCAAAGACAAGAATGGCGACGTCCCCTGAGGAGAATTTTGATGGTTGGAGTACCGATTATGCGCACCTCCGTATCTCGTTGACCAAGAACGTTCTATCTTTCTATCAGAGCTTTTTCTTTGGAAGTTGGACGAGAAGCGCGAGCCGGTAAGGACAAGCTAGCTCTGGATTGATACCGGGCAATAGCACATGATGATGATCTATTCAATGATGACGATCCACTATCAGGAAGCGGACGAGAAGAGATCTCAAAACCAAGTGACCCCTCCATAACGACTTCCTCGTAACCGCGACGAATTGTATTCCAATACTTTCGGAGATGGAGAAGACGACGACGTTTGATGTATCCGGAAAGATCCTATTCGCAAAATCCCTAGATGATCGAACATTTTACGTCGACAGATGGACATTAATATTGGTTCCATTTTGTCTCTACGGCTTGCAGAATTGAGTAATGGTCGAGTGCCTTCTCGGGCACGACCCTGGAGCTATTACGCAGAGATCACTAATTTTAAAGTTTAGGCCAAGAAGAAATGAATTATCATGCCTCATGTAAACCCATAAGTGTTTGCCGAAGGCAAGGTCCCATCGTTAACGTCGATCGTCTGTTCTTTTCTGTTCTGAATTTCAACATCTGGATACGCCCCAAGACGCCGTTATCGATTTCTTCATTCGTGGCAGGCGTTGAAATCTCTAGGAGGGAAAGACAAATTGAGAGATTGCGGAGGAGTAGAATTAATATTATTATCGTACCAGAAATGCGATCGCCTTCTAGATAACTGAAATGAAAGACTAGGCCGAGACATTCACGTGCAATAAATATGTGCGAAGGAGGAGAAGAATTGCGGACAGGCATTAGTATTTTCAACGAGGCGGCATTAGTGTTTTGAATTTTTAGTGTCAAGTGACAGCTGCGCAGTCTGGATGAAGGGATGATGAGATTTAGGTCCGTTCGTAGTGGCATTGACATCGTGTCGAGCGTAGAAGTCGCGAATGAACTTCTGCTGTAAGACTTTGAACAAATTGAGGAGATTCCAAGATGCTGGGTTCGCAGCTCTTTTCCGCCGCAGCTGATCACTGCCGAGCAATCCGATAGAAAGATTGCCCATCGCGTCCACGGCTCTTTCAATGCATGAAGTGCGCCTTTACGAGTAGCGCAACCTGGGGAGAACGTTAACAGAACCGATGTTGATCTCGGATCTCCTCAAGGACACAATGAACTGCTCATTGCGGTCCTGATTGAACCAGCCATGTACCCATGTGCCACAAAGATCAGTACTTTCCTTGGATACGGCGGGATACGGCTCATTGTGCCTGGAAAAAAACTGAAGAGGTGAAGATCAAACACGGACCGAGCACTTGAGGATCTTTGGTCGCCGAAGCACTGCAAGGGTCCGAGAGCCGTACAGGAAGACCGGGTAAGAATACCGACACTATTGCAATAGATAATCATTCTAGTCATTCGATATGTTGTCACTTACCGACCAATTGAAACGCTCGCGGCTGGTGCTACAGTCCTAAACGGATAGCAATTCTTTTCTGAAGTGGCTTCTGAGTTGCCGTCATCAATTTCCGCTGTCTATCATTACGAGCGTGGATATCTGGGGAGGGGAAATACATATCGAGAAGATGCAGAAGCCAGAGCAAGGTATTCTTGTGCCAGAGATGCGACTACCTTCTTCGAGGTAGATAACTAAAATGAAAATATCAAATCGGAGCTCGAGGCATGATCACGTGCATAAAAATGATGGTGAACATGCATTTCAAATTTCAAGGACGCGGTAGGAGATGGGGATCTACATTGCGTACTGGGACAAGAACCAAGCAGCGACAAGGCTCCAGTATCTTCTTCTGCGACGCTAAAGAGTAACGTTGAACGATTTGAAGCGTGTTTCAAGCTACTCATGTACGAGTCAACCTTGCATGAGCAGTCCGCTCGACGACTGAGCATTTCACTTACAGCTTTTTGAAGCGTCGACCAGTCTTCTAGTACCTCAAACCGATCTCAACCTGACTCAGGATCATCAGGGCAGCACCAATGGATCTGCGGTCGATGGATCGAGATTGACTCCATGATGTTCTGTTCCTTCCGATCCTTGAAGACGTGTTGTCACAGGTATCAGTGTGTTACTTGGGTGTGGATGTCGTTTCTACTGACTCGGAAAATGAAGAAATGACTGCAAGTCACTGGTCAGCAGTGAGTCGTAATAAAAGTACACAAGTATATAGAAAAACTCAAACAACACTAGTTTGCCCTCACAGCCTAATGGTTGAACGTTGAGAGACGATCATTCCTCCTGTGAGTTCACTTGAGTCGATTGGCCATAAGTGGTGTCTAACGATGAGGGATGTTATTCACTTCGTTCCCTATTGAGAGACACACCAGCAGCAGTGACTCGTGCCTCGACTCGATGGCGCAAGGCTTACCTAGACTAGTGACCAGCCTGTCTATGAGGCAAGCCGTCGATAGACTCGGACGGACTGGCAAACCTGGGTCTGGATCATGCCGAGCGGGTTCCCACAGTAACGTGACGTATATCTGGGGCAAACGAAATCATGTGATGATGTGAGCTTTTGCTGAGCCCCCGCCAAGTCCTTGTCTGTGTCGACTCTGCGATCGACTTCGACGACGAGTGTGTTAGCTGCCGGGCGCGTCATTTGACAAATGTTTCATTGCCCATTTAACTTATTGTCTTCTGTCTATCACTGCCTGGGGCCAACATCATCGATCATCATCCGACTGGATAGTGATTTCAATCGTTCAGTGGACTCTGGCGTTGTTGCTAACACGGCACTATGCATCTCCGAGGCCGTTCCAACCTTTTCCAGACTCTTACCCCACGGCCGTATCAAATTGACTGTATCTTTGCAGACTCGCGAAGACGCGTTCGGATATGGAATTGGTTCCACTCTCGAGCTGGAATAGCCTTGGGACGATTTCAGTCGCCGTTAAGCATCATGCACCGTGACAATTAAGCATGCGTGTAACACGTCCGTTAGGTCGAAATTGTGGAGTATCTGAAGGTAATCTGTGGGGAGCTGTTCTTTAATTACATCACGCGCAAACTGATCCAGCGCATCAAGAGAAACATTAATGTAAATGACTCAGGTGATGGAAGATTGGTCCGTTGAATTTACAGGTATAGAGTGCGTCGCGTCGATCGATAGTGCAAGGATAGCATACCCTCTACGCACGGACTCAACACGGACTACGACTAGGCGCTCGAAACCGTCCACCTGACTAATCATCATGCTCTTTTTCTCGTTTCTACCACTTTATCCTGTCAGGCTTAACGCCACCTCTTTCTGCCTCCGTTTTCACATAATAGTTCGGCCTAGCCATATGACCCTTACAGTTTTGCGAGTATAAATATCTCATACCTAGAGAGGGCGCTGTGTAGCAGCAACAGCAGCAGAATCTGGCACTCTGATTCCCCGCTCCAAGCACGTCCGAACGCCTCAAAGAAAGTCTCAGTCTCGAATCGTTTCTCCTGCTCGATAGCATCACCTATACACGTGTCTCTTATCTTTCTCTTTTCATTCACAATTCCCTGTCGAATTTATACCCAGCCTTGCAATAGCGGAAAAAAAATATCGTCATCCAATTTTTTGAGCCATTGATCTGAAGACAAGGATCAAGATGTTAGTCTTGGTCCTATATACATACGAGTGGAAACCCGTATATATATACTGTGTGCTCGAAGGTGGATAAAGAGCTCGAAGATTGACATAATGCTAGGCTAGTGGCACTATGTGACTATAACTTGAAGTAGCTGCTAGTTGGGGCAAAGTTGAAGGCGGCAGTTATGTAACGTCGCCAATCTTGACCAAGCGCCAACTAGCTGGCAAAACCCACTACTACTACTAGCGGCTCTGCAAATGAAATGGAGTGGAAACCTGCTCAGTTTGACATCTCCCACCCTCCAGATCTTGTCCTAACAAAAAATCTGGACGTGGATCCTGAATTCGCAGACAATTTCGCTCGTTGTGCCAGATGGTACGCCTTTTAGTCAACTACTTTGAGCACGATCATATTCAAACGTCAAAACACTAAAGGTGTGCAGATGGATCCAGCTTCCTCGTCCAGTGCGAAAACAGAGCATTTCAGCTGTTTAATATGTGAGTATATTTGTTGTCCGAGTGATCTATACTCTCAGATTTAGCTTAAATTCTGAAGTCCAGACGTTCAAGGTCAGTTGTGTTCCACTAGTTTTAACTTTCACTTACCAAATCGCTCCGAAGGAACGCAGCTCTCGGCCCACCATAAGCGTACATTCTCGCAGTCTGCAGCGGTCGTCAATTTTGCTTGGTATCCTGGGGCATCATCCGATAACGCTCCAGCTTACTGTTTCGTCGCTTCTGTGCGTGACTGTCCGGTGAAGCTTCTGGATGCTTCGGATGGAAGGGTAGTACACCTATTGTTCAGATACATTTGTCAAACCGCTGATCGACCCTGCCAGCTGAGGGCCTCATACCCGATTATCGATCATCGTGAGAGGTTCATCGCTCCTCATAGTCTCGCATTTAACTTAACAGCCGACAAGTAAGCCTGTCATGAAATCTTCATTTGTATTTGATAATGATCACCATGCGCATCACGCACACCAAGACTATACTGCGGTTTCGAAGATGCCATCGAGATCTTCGACATACAACAACCTGGGGAGGGCGAGCGGCTCCTGACCACGCCTTCAAAGAAAAGCAAGGATGGCCTAAAAGGCAAGACGTCAGCTATACTATTCGTGTGTGTGTTGATTCAATTTCCGATTCAGGCATCATATCCAGTGTCGCTTTTTCCTCCTCCTACGACTATTACGCAATCGGCAGCCTAACACCTTCCTCACAAGCGATGGATAATATTGCATTGTATTCTGAGTCAAACCAAGCAGCTATTATGCCTATAGGAGGCGCAGATTGTCATTCCGGAGTCACGCAGGCATGTCGCCTCAAGAATTAGTAGTAAAGCTGATCTTATTCCTCACAGTTGAAGTTTAACCCAACACAACCGCATATCCTGTATGCTGCATTTCGTCGACACGATGCTATATATGCATGGGATCTTCGCAGTGATACATCTGTACCTGTAAAGGTCTTCAGGACGTCCCCTGATTCTCGCAGAAATTTGACTAATCAAAAGATCGAATTCGACATAGATCACGCTGGAAGATGGTTAAGCGTCGGTGATCAGGTACCTTATTGTCTCAGATTTCTCTCGTTCAGGCTTCCAGGCTAACAATATGCTTATAGAATGGATGCATTTCGATGTTTGACCTTGAACATTCGGACGAATTGGATTCTGAACAGGCATCAGTGATTTCGCCGCAGAGCATCACCCCAACGATGAGTTTTAACGCGCATGGAGGCAAGTATACCAAACACCCGTGCTCATCTCTTTGACTGATCTTTGTGACTGAAGATGTGGTTGGCTGTGTTGCATTTCAGCCTCTACGTTCAAATCTCCTGTCAGCATCAGGGCTCACGCCATTTTGATGAGGACACGAGGAATGGTGATTCTAATAGCTCTGATGAAGATTCAACAGACCAAGAGTCGGATTCTGAGAGGCAGAATATGACCGCAGTGTCAAGCCGCCGACCTCTTCCATATGTCAAAGACCCTTCTTTGAAGCTGTGGTCATTCGACCCCGCGAGGATTGTACATCACGCTTGATTGATCCTTGTTTCGAAGCGTTCGAACGCCATTGTACTAGTTTATTGCTCACGTCCAGGTCGTCAGCCAAACAAGGTCAATAAGATTTCGGTTGACTTTTACTTTGGCTAATTGTCGTAAACGGTGTCAAAGACATTGATGTGAGAACTCATCACACTCACTACAAGGCTTTTGATGTATTCTGACTGGCAGAGGAATAAAGACATGTGACGTGCGTTCTTCAGTGGGGACAAAAGTGCTAATTTATAGTTCTATTTCGACCTCGAATTGTTCGTGATATAAGTTATTGCAGCAGCAGAATGTAACACATGTACTGTTTTTTTATAACATTACGAGGTTTGCGCAGCGGGTTTATCGCGCAGATTCTATGCATCGAAAAAACGTATGAACATTTCTAACGGTTACTCTTTGACATGGGCTGCCACTGCCATTCGATTGAGATCCCAGATGGGCCGACATGTCTGGGGCTCATAGCGACTAAGCTTTCCCCAGTGTCTTGCTGCAATCCCCCAAGGAAAGTATGATGAATTTGTCATATCTCAGAGGTGATTGAGATCAGAAAAATCTGTGACGATTGAATTGCTGCACAGATCTCGGTGATGCAATTTCAGATTTCGATGTTATTGTACACGGTGGAGTAGGGGTTCCACAAGCAGCGACTACGCATTCGGGGTCTCCACGGCCCTTTCCACAGTTGCCAGCATGTAGACTGGATTCCATCGTGTTCGTACCCTGGCATGACCATCATTGTACCTGCCTGATTTGCTCTGTAGTTGGGCCGCTGCTCCCTGCTCCAACGGCATACCCATAAAGGCTCGCTCACATCATGTCTTCCAGACACATTATGGCGCGAGCCACGAAACAAGTCAAAGTCAGCAAGGAAAGTATAGTCGACGCGACGTCACCTAGCGCGATGAGGTGCATAGTCATACAAATGTCCTGATCAAACACGCCGATTGAGATTGATGATACAGCGGCGGCTGCACTGTTGTCAGAGTTTGTAATATTACATCATGTCGAACCTCTTTCGAGCTCGAGCCATGCTGATCCAAGTTGTCGCCCACCGTTCGCAGGATGTGAGTGTCTCGATCCTCGTTCGACCTCGATGCATGCTGATCCAAGTCGTCGCCCACCGTTCGCAGCGTGTGAGTCTGTCGATCCTCCTTAGAGCTCGAGCCATGCTAATCCAAGCCATTGCCCGCCGTTCGCAGCGTGAGTCTGTCGATCCTCCTTCGAGCTCGAGCCATGCTGATCAAAGTCGTTGCCCATCGTTCGCAGTTTGTGAGTGTGTCGATCCTCCGAGCTCAAGCCATGTTGATCGCATTCATTGCCCACTGTAGGCAGACTGTGATTATGTTGATCCTCATTCAAACTCGAGCCACGCTAGTCGAGGTCCTTCCACTGATTGCAGCAAGTGAGTGTTGATCCTCCATCGAGCTCGGGCCTTCCCGAATCCATGAGCGCATCGATTCGTTGTCAAGTTCAAGCATTCCTGACAAAATAAAATGATGATATATCTGCAGGAAGTCAGTAAATTGATCCTCTAACGACCTTGAGCCACTGGCCGAAAAAATCGTCGATCCATCGACAGCTCGTGAGTGTGATCAACCCTCTGTCGACCCGGGTCTGACGTGCATGTACTCGAGGGCCAAGGGAGAGTGACCTGTCAGATCCTGCCCGGTTGCCCTCTCAAAACCGTATCTTGATTGCACCCCGTCGTGCAGCTGGGCCAGCAGTTTATCCCAGGTTATCGACATCCCTGACTTCTCTTTGGCTTTCGCTCAGCCTCGTCCTGGAAGAACTTGCATAACATTTGACCTGGAATAGACCTGCTTTTTGCCCGGCACTGGTGGTAGCGCCGTTTGCCATTCAGATACACTCCGGGAGGTAGTAGCTTCAGTCTGGACTTTGCACTTGGAGAAAAGAAGTATAGGAGCGATTGTAGAAGCTCCCATCAGTGATAGTAACCGAGCAACAATGGATCCAATGACTACGTCGGCATTTCCTAGAGGAGAACTCTCATCCTAAGTAGTAGCTCTTGAGGAAAACCTCAATGCTACTATAATCCACGATGCGAGATGAGCAGCTTATGCGTCCTCGAATTTAGCCCATCCTGGACGAAACAAAGGTGCTGTCCATGGTGTCTTCACACACAACAAACGAGGAAGTCAATGGATGGTTTGGTGCGAACCGAGGATACTCAGACTTTGCGGAGCATATATATGAGCTGACTAACACTAGTACAATCTAAATGAGGAAGTCCTGTTGAACTTGAAACCGAGGCTCATCGACATCTCAGGCCATTCTCTTTCAAAAGGCTTCGACTTGTCACTTGAAGAACGAGAGAAGCGATGTTCTATTCATCTATATTTTGCTTCTGTTCTTGAATCTAACCTAGGTGAGTCTGATGCTCTCCAAAGTAAAAACTAGTATCTCGGCGAGCAAGAGGAAGACTGTACATCAATGTGTTGTGTTGGAGGGTGTTGCACAATCAGTATTTCTTTTTTTGCCAGCGTGCGACACAAGAACTGGATAGGATTTATTGTATTTGAATGGAATGCACGAGTTTAAGAAGATAGAACTTATGGTTTCGAGTTGAGCTTGAGGTGGAGCGGTCTGGAAGATACTAAGTTAGACTGTGATCAGTAAGGAGGAAAGGGTGGCAATATCGAAAGACAACTCACCAGCATCTGGGCATTGAATAACAATATGCAGATGGTTATGCTGAGGAGCATTGTCAAAAATCTGGAGCATTTTGGCCCCAGGTGATAGCAATTTCTTTGTGTCAAGTGTAAGATTGTTAAGATGATGCTCGATCGTCTCGTTGACAGTCAGGTCGACCTTTCAAAATATCAGATTATCAAAACCCAATCGTAGGCATCGGATCACTCACCTGCCATAGCTTGAGATCGTCAGCGGCAATATGTTCAAATTCTGGCTTCTCGTCTTCGGTGACATTTCCGAGGTCACCAACAGTTCTAGTCTGCGTCTGTGCAATGTCAACCGCGAAAATACGGTGAGGATCATGGCCCAAAACAATGTAGTGGAGTTTGTACATCTGACGTTGAGAACAAGATAATTGGGTAATTTTGGTGGCGGTGAGAAGCAATAAATTTTCAGAGATGGCAGACGTTCAAGTAATTAACCAGATACAACGCCTTCCGAAGAGTCCCTGCAGATAAATAGATTTTTAGCGAGAAGCATGCTGGCCCATTCCCCGTTCTGTCCTATCTCGACCACGGGTAGACAAGTTGGCTGGCTACCGCTACGGGCGATGAATCATCTGCCAGGTTGTGTGAAGGTCAGAAACAGGTAATGCAGAGCAGGTACTCACGGATCGACTGAGGCGCCGTAAAATCTGCTACATGCGAAGTCGTGGATGAAAAGACGACCCAGACCGATTTGTCGCTGTCATTTGAGTAGTAGTTGATCGTCCTGCCAATAATATGTGATTGACGAAAACCCTTTCTGGTGTTGCTCGAAGGGTGGGCCTCGTCAAATGCTACCACGAGTTTGGGATCATCATTCGAAGCCTCCGAGTCAACTCCGAGTCGTTCTTATCCTTCTCAGTAGATATATGTCGCAAAACCATCAGCAAGTCGATATAAGATGTCGTGACGAGTAATTTTCCTTCTGATTTCGGTGCCATGATCTTCCCATGTTTATGCAGTGAGCTTTGGTGGCCTCATTGTAAAAATACAACAATTGCCTGTGAGGCACATACTACCTGACTTTGCGGCGGTGTCCTACGCTGTTGGCGTAGCGGGTTGCACACCGGTGTTTACTTTGGGCTTTGGAATTTTGATCTCGCGAAGGGTCTGTTGGAAACTACTTTACACCATCTGTGAAGAGACTATCATTTCCCTGCTCACCTTCTGGTATCAAGATCGAGATTTCTAAAAGAATTCGGAACGAGCTTACGAGCGCATATTACACATTTCGTCATTCCATGATTTGATCGCTGGATCAGGATTGCCAGAGCGCAGCCGAGGTAGCTTGCTGCTCAGATTCTGCTGAAGCGTCTGGAATATGGTCGTAAAGAAGGCGCATCAATAAGCGGCATACTCGGCTCGAGTGTAGTCCATATCTTCCGTCAATATATGCGCAGGCACTCGGTCTTGCATAGGAAGAGTTGGATCGCGAAGGTTCATGCACAAAACGCTGACACATTTGTTCCGCAGCTGAGTCGATGTTTTAGCCACCAGATACGAATATGAACTTTAAAACGCTGACCTTGGTCATTAGTCTTGATTTCGGGAACTTTGGACAAACAAACAGAACTTAGCATAGTATGGTCTATGCACGCCACTTCCCTTGAACTTATTTTCTAGGTAATCGTAGAAACCGACGGTCCACAGCCTCCTGACGTACTGATAAATGAAGCATGCAGGAAGTCTGTCCATTCTTCATCTAAGATACAACTGACCTGAGATCTGACTGTAGACGTCAAAGTCTCTCACCTTGAGATGACCGTGCGGGGTCGCTATTTAAATATTTCTGCGTTTCCAGCAACCGTCAACAGGAGGGTACCTATGCCGCTGGTACGAACACTCACCAAGGTCAACGACGTGAGAAAACGAGCACATCTGGCGGGCGCAGCGGGTTGTTCTGCATAGTTTAGGGTGTTGCTGTAGTGTTTCCTCCGTCAATCCCATGCCCAGGTCAAGATTATGTTCCAGCTGTTCGCGTTTGAGCAATGTACTGGCCGCTGCAGTTACAAGTGTCATGATGAAGGCAAGGAAGAAGCCCGAAGGGCGAACTCTTGTGAGCACACAAACACATTGCAGAGCCTGGGTGTATGATCACCGTGAGAACTATAGCAACGACTATTTGAAATTTAAACTAAGTTGTAAATTAGTCAGCGGATAGGTCATGGGTACTCAGTTCGTCACTAGTGCTCTAATCAGATACACGCACGTACCGGCGTACATAGATTCGCTGGCGGGAAAGCAGCACGCGTTGCCTTACTGCAAATTCAGATGTTCCTTCGGCGGACCGCAGCGACGGGGTTTCCTGGAGCGTGGGAAATCGTTTGTGTAACTTTTCGTGGTCGAGACTACTTACGGTCGGCTGAGTCGACTATCGTGCGATTATATATGCATGGTTCTGGCCCATCACAAAAATGGGCGCATAGCATATTTACCGTACAAAGTCCTTTAGGCCGCACTCAAACCCCCCATTCTCGCCTCGTATCAACGGACCAATAGTTGCAGGGAATCTCCTCATGAATGTTTTCAATCCTCGCATTCTGGATGCCAGCATCCGCGATGTGACGGGGTGTCTGTCCGACATTCAAAAGGCTGATGTTCTTCTCCATGCCTTGCATCTTTTGCCATCTGAAGGGTATGTTCATCCAATCACTTTTTTTATAAAATAAAATCTAGATTGATCTGTATCACAAAGGTCCCGAATTGTCATGGAGAACGCTATCCAGTCCTTTCTCCAAGTTTCGGGTGTTCCACCAGCAGATGTTGCAAGAGCTCTTTTGTTACGTGCCAAAACCCGTTTAGCAGCTGGGTACCGAACTTCTGCCCAACAAGGTCAAATTCATGCTTCCCCTTAGGTTTCGTGTATCGAATGCGCTGACATCACTATCATTCAGATTTGTTGTCCGTACTATGTTCAGATCCCGCAAATCAAGACGTCAAAGCCCTAATACAATCTGAGCATTTACGACAAGAAATGGTAAGTTGTCCAACCATTTCATCATGACCCTTTGGCGAAATAATGTCAAGCTTATCAGGGAACCCGATGGTCCCCCTCGTTTTTCTGCCGAAGTCTGGAGAGAAATCGCTCTCTGTCTCCCAAAACGTGATCTGAAGTCTCTTTTATTGGTCCCACATGCACTCTCTCGCATAGCAAGTCAACTTATTTTCCGCGAGATCGATCTACATTTCACGGCATCGCCGGATCCCCCGAAAGCTGAGAACAGGTACAGGGGTGTTCATGGCGGCCAAGAGGAGCAGGAGCTCGACGCTTGGCACTACCAGCGAAGTGCCGATATTCTTACACGCATCCTTGTCGATCCCGTCTTTGCCTCGCAGGTCAAAAGTTTAAGCGTATATGCTGTTGGTTCAGACGCCTCACACACATCGGCATTTCAGATTGGTTTGTACTCATTTTCCAATGTTACTACTATGTCTCAATCCTCCCTAGGAATGTTGATTAACTCTCTGCCTAAGCTCTGCAACCTTCGCAATGCGCATTGTTCAGGTAACAGGGAATTAATCAATCGCATGCTTGAGACAATGTGTACCTCAAACCATCGTCTTTACAGCCTGTCTATCAAGTGCGTTGTTTCATACTTCCTTTCGCCTCCAAATATTCTGCATGTTCATACTCCACATAGTCTTGTTGATCGTTCAGGCGACGTCGACATCCCACCATTCAAGCACATCACACATTTCTCCATCACGGCCGAAGGAGGGAATAGTACATCTACCCATGACTTTATATCACATAGTCATGACAATCTGCGCTCGCTGGCAATCAAGAACGCACGCTGGAAATTCCCAACGGAAATCATCTCTGTCCGTCACTTGACAGCTATCGACTTCGAGGGCTGTTTTTCCGCAGATAGCCAGGTCTTCTCTGAGATATTGTCCACCGGCCATCAACTGGAGTCGCTGACGTTGTCAGGTATTCTGGAATGCACTCCATCAGCCACGTTCCGCCTGTATAGGACCTCGCTTCCGTTTCTGACGCATTTTGCCTTCAAGATCAACTAGTCTGCATCGTCACGTCACGGACAGGGACCTTGTACCTGCTATCTCGGAATTCTTGAGAGATCGCAAGCATCTACGTTCCTTCCACCTAATCGTGCCTAACGCGGACCATCGTCGTATTGGTTTTGATGCGTCTGCTTGGGGTGTACTACCTTCTCTAACGAACCTCCGCAGTCTTTGTATCACTTATCCTAGAGATCTTTCTCCTTCGCTAGCAGGGTGGCTTATTCCGCGCAGTGTTCGTGCGCTCACTATGGAGATTATGGCACCGCCTGCAGAGGACCTTCTCCTATTCATAAACGTGAGTTGGCGATGCCCATCATTGACAAGAAGCGCCAGCAGCATTGATGTGTTCCATTATAGCAACTGCGTCCCGGAGTCCCTCCCCTTCTCACGTTTATTGGTATGACAAACTTCCCGATGCGTTCCGTCATGAACGCAGTCGACCACGGCTTTTCCAACCTGCGGCTTCTGCGAATCGATGAGAATGTCTGGAGTGTCATCCGCTCAGATGATGGGTCGATAGAAATGGAGCAGTGGCCATATCGAAGGATCAAGTACTATACGACGGACATGGTTAGAGTCCCTCGGGTGCGAGGATGCAACACGGCATTTGGCATGGTAAACACGAGGAATATCTTAAAAAATAAAGACGTCGAATGTACTTTTTCAATGATTCTACCCCCTTAATATCTTACTCATTGAACTGTTCTTGGTCTAGTGTGACAGTGGCTGCAAACCCCACGCTCTCCAACAGCTCTTAGGCAATGGCAAATAATGACTTACCCTCAAGATGCGTGGACAGACGACATTGCTTTCAGTGGTGGGTGGGCGCTATCACACGTGCCAGCTGTCAGCAAAGTGGCAGTAGATTGCGTACTTGTCATTCTTCGCAAGGACAAGAGGTTCCCATTGGACCGCGCCAATTTAATAACGCTGCCTTGCGACTTCGATGATCTTGCTGTATTATCAAACCTGTGATATGCTGGCACATTGCTGCCAATTCGAATCCAAAGCGTCAGATGTGGGGTGTACAATGCTTATACCATGCTGTTTTCATATTTACCACAGCTTCTATTTTCACCGGTGCCGGTGACTCCCGATCACCGGTAGCGACAGAACTCAGTAATTGGCGTCAATTCCTGAGAGTGGCCATGTTTGCCGGAGCGCCATCGTCATATCTCGTACATTGTGGTCGACCCTGGTGGACTGTGACGCTTCTATTTAGTAGCCTCGTTGTTTACGCCTTAATGCTGTCGACAACGAGGCTACTGCAATTGGAGGTGTGAAACGCAGCCTTGGGCTACTTCAAAAGACTAAACGCCGAGAGGAATGCAACAATTTCCGTCGTCATACAATGGACACTGATGCTTTCGTTCCTGACAAAAGCGTCCGTAGGGCCGTGTACTTTCAGTAGGGTTTGCATTCTTTCACGGTATCGCTATAGCTGACTGGGGTACAGAGAACCAAATGACATGCGATATCCTCAAGCAGATGGTACATTTCGACCGTAAGTGTGCACGTTTTTCATACCTGTAACATATCTGAAATTGAACCTAGGGCTCGAAGGTCTATCATCTCAGTCCCTTGCTGCAAAGTTTTTTCTGCCAAGTGCCCAATCCACGCTCGATAGTGAGATAACTGGACTTTCTTATTCCCCTAGCGATAAACTACCTGAGCAGTAAGCAATTTGACCGGTGGTATTCGGTGCGCATGCTGAAAACTTGCTTAGACTATTGCAGCAGATCCTCGACACTCTCCAAAATTCCAATGCCGTGAAAAAGGGGGCAAATGATGAGCGATCGCGATTCTGGACGGTATATCAAAAGGTCGCATCACAACACGACAACGATTTTTTGGAGCAATATGATGGTGACATGGATATCGTCTTGATTTTCGTAAGCCATAAGCTCGTGCATCAATAACAGGGTGATGACTTGTCTTTAGTCTGGCCTATTTTCCGCAGTCAATACGGCGTTCATCGCCACTATGGGACCTAGCGAGACTACTACCACAGATGCTTTATTGACGCAAATCATCACGCTGATGGTAATGAACAGCCATGGAACCCCTATCACAGCTAATTATCCGCTTCCCGTCCCGCCTGCATATTCCAACGGGCAAATATGGTTCCAGGCTCTGGCTTATGCCAGCCTTTCATTCAGCCTTCTTGCGGCATTCGGCGCCGTTTTGGGCAAGCAGTGGCTTCGCATCTACAAGCTCAAACGGTCCGGGCGTGGATCCCTCGAGGAGCAGGGGAAGAGCAGACAGCAAAAATTTGACAGCCTCAAGGCGTGGCATTTCGATGCTGTGCTACAGACATTCCCGGTCCTTTTGGAGATTTCATTATTGCTATTCGGCATTTCGCTCTCCGCGTACGTGTGGACGCAACAGCGGACCATGACATCCATCATTATTGCGACCACGGTGTTCGGTTGCCTGTTTCATTGGTGCACCCTTTTTGCATCCCTTTTATCCGCAGATTGTCCCTTCCAAACTCCAGCTACCTTCATACTTTGCATGGCCGGTGCATTCGTGTGGGCAATAAGCATGGTCATTAAGAACGACAAAGAATTTCACAAACTGGGCGCATTTCGCTCTTTCCTCCGCGGCATCACAGCGTCCATCTCGAGGCTCGTACAACGAATACTCAATCCCAAGCCTTCCAACGACATCAGGACAGAATCTGCCATATGTTGGGTACTCGAGACATCTACAGATCCAGATGACATTGCAGGCGCTGCCGCACTCATTCCCACCATTACGTGGCCGCCGAACTCAGACATTGTGTCTCACTGTCAGCGGCTTCGAGACACGTTTTTAGCCTGTTTCGACGCTGAAGGGCGACTCCGGCCCTCGGCAGAAGATAGAGCAGTTGCCTGTGGGCGAGCTTTAAACCATTTGTGTCTGAATGTTTTTCCGATTGAAGATGAACCCAACACCCAAACTCCTTCCCAGCAGTTGGCAATTTGGCGTCAGTGGCGCAGCGTCGTTCTTCCACAAAGCTTTAACCAGTGCAAGGCCTTTGCCTGCCAACTGCAAAAGTTAAATGGCCGGGAGAAAGAGAGGTGTTTGGCAGATGCACGCACCGCATTGCGCATGATGATTGCTGCTGCTGGAGACGGATTTATCCGTCCAGACCACGACTCAATCATTTGGCGTGGTCAATTCACGTGGACTGGCGATTGTCGTACGGCAGCTGATTTCGATTGGCTGATCGACTACCTCGTGTCTTGCTCCCAGGACCACACTGCAATGGGAGATGCTTTATTAGCGCTGAGCGCTATGAAAGGACTTGGCACCCGGCAATCGGCCTACCTACACGCACTCATATCTGCCATGGAACCATCCAACCCTCGTCGCCTTCGCTATGCAGCTTTACGGGCTGTTTCAGACTCTCGATTGGCACTCGCCGATATTGATGCCATAGAGGACGAGAGTACACGTCAGATACTCCTCACAAATTTTTCCCCTGTTCTCCTCAAGGCCATCTTTCCTGCTCGTAACGACGAACTCGTCAACTATTGGCGAGACGATGCTTACCTACGGCTCATTATGGCCCTTACTTCCAACGCGGAGTGGTGTAAACGCCTAGTCACCGATCTACATATCGGACGCTGCATTACTATCTTAAATAACCTCGACGAGAGCTCACCCGCCCCCTTCTATCTCGCTGCAATTTTTGGGCGAGTTCGTTCTTCGAATGCAGACGCAGCTGGAACTGTGTTCGAGGCAGTTGCGACCGACCAAATCCCGTCCCTTGTTAAGTCAGCCTGGCAGGTTGCACTGAATTTGAGGCTTTATAGGCCTGAAGCCGAATGCATCGCCGCTTTCCCGGCTATTATCGAATGCGCAGAACAGGAAAATATCTCAGCGGCCGACGCTGAGGAGATTCGCCAGAATGTCGGTCTAGTGGTGGAGAAGCTGAAGAAGCGAAACCAGTGTCCGGAAATCATGTCTAGTGTCCAGGACTATTACACCAGGTTGACCAAGACTTAATTTATCTTTTCCATGAATCTGGGCTGATACCAATTCACTGCAGTCCCTCAATAGATACCAACTTATGATTATTACGCGCCCCAACTATGATTATGACTCTCGTTTGATGATTCACATTGTATTATAACACTTCACCTACATTCTCTTAATCGACGACTTAGTATGTACTACTCGTACAACATCTGAACTGGTCCGAATTCAAGAAGGTATGGAATCCACTCCAACGCTGGGAACGCACGCATCAAATGCAGGAAACACATAATCACGCCCTACTATCGTCTGCGCCACGTACAAACTTCAAGAATCATGATCTAAAAACAGACAGTGTCTCTGGAAGAAAGGAACTGAACAAAATCAAATGGGCATCACGAGTCTTGAGCCATCGCCTGCACGCCCTGCTGCAGTATTTGTTGAATTGCTGGGTTATTAGCACTATAACGTTCAGTGAGCTAGGGTGTATGTTGATATCATAACGAGGTGCGTACATGGAGTAACCATCATTAGGCGAATCCACCGTTGCTGCCGCTGGTGCTGGGGAGTTAGTTGTGTCTAACTGGACGGCACTGCTTGACTGGGTAATGCCAGTCGAACCCCACTATAACGAGCGTCAATAAATGCATCACAAGGAAGGGAAGTATTGACCTGGTATTGCATGATGCCCGCCAATCCAGCGCTGTTGCCCACTGCAATAGAGTTTAGTATTGGACATTGTCATTTCTGGATTTACGCACTCTGCAAAAACGAACTGTAACCCTGTTCTTGTTCACTGTCATCGGCAAACTCTGATGTGGATTGTTGTCGCTTGTTACCGGCAAAACCTGACCTCGTGGTGAAGTCCATGACTGCTGCGGGGACAAGAACATGAGCACATGATTGTCGACCGTTGAACTGTGACAATATTACCTGTATTGGATGCGTAAGGAGCATAAGTCATGTTGAACGGGACAAAGTCATTCAGATTGGATTGGGTAACCAGACCGAATCCATTGAGGACAACGGGCTTCCCAACGCTGAAAGGAATGTAAGCTAGACATCGGCTGAGCTAGACTTCTACTCACGCGGCAGCAGACTGAGCCGATTGCTGGATCCACGTGAGACTTGAGTTGATCTTGTTTTCCACGGGGCTAAGGTTTGGATCATTGGGAGCGTACAAGTTCTGGTCGGGAAAGACTTGGAAAGAACCGAAGCCTATATTGGGGATGTTAAGGATGTCCTGGCTGTCGACACCAGATGAACCATCCGTTGTGGGGCCAATCGAGCTAGAGACTTCTCGCGTTGCTGAAAAATGATAAGAAACATCACAATTCGGTGACATAGACCAAAGTACCTGTAGATACCCAGCGACCCCTTATCTTTATACCGTCTTCCTTCAAGGTGCCTGCACGCTTAGCAGCTGCCCTGTTTTGGCGTCTCGACTCAGCACGCTGCCTTATGATCTGCTCTTTTGTCAAAGGAGCGACACTCCTGCGCTTCTTGCCAGGTGCGGGAGAGGGCGTAGGTGAAGCTGTTGGTGTGATAGGATACAACTTCGGACAATCTGGGCATTGGAATCCAGATGTTCTACAGAAAATTGAGAATCACGGCTCTAAAGCGACATCGTACGATACTTACCCAGCGGATACGATGTGGTTGGAATCAATTGTTGCAATGAATGCAGCCATCTCAGCGTGCCACTTTGTGATAGTTTGTGTGGTACATGTTGGACTGGTGGGTATGGTCGAGTTGCATCTGACAAATGATGAGGAACATGTTCCGAGGCGGTGGATACGCAGGATGATTCACCTAGCATCATTCGCAAGCTCCCAGCTGAATACAGCAGGGCTGTTGAGATAGCGTAATACAATCTGTTTGGTGTAATTCTGGAAGGCGGTCAAGATTTGGTTGTTCGTGTAGAAATCGTCGTGGTTCTGAAGTCCGAATTGGCGGACATATAGATCCATACCGCCTGTAAGAACGTTGATTTGTCTGAGGTCTAATTGAACACCAAGTGTAGTGTTGGCTTACCATAGTCATTTGAAAGAGTATTACGCGGAGAAGTAACAGACGCAAGTACCTCAGGTATTGCCGTGCTGGACGTTGTTGTGTTAGGTACTGGATTCCAGTTATTCGTTAGTGACATGATGACATATAGTCCTTGTTGTTCTGCCATTTGAACCACAGTGTCAAGTTTCTGCAGTCCATTTGGTCCGTCGTTAATCGTAGTAGTGCCGTTCTGTACCAGCTGAAACCATGTTCCACTCTCCGGAATGGTTTCCACGTCTGTCAATCAAGACACTAAATCGCGAACCTCAACGGTAGACTGAAGATGAACGAACCATTAAATGCCCAAATCCTGATGACCTTGATTCCGGTATCAGATATGTTCTTCAGCAAATTCGAGATGTCATCATTCGAATCCAATGTCGGCAGCCAGTACAGGTTGGTGCCGACGAATCTAAGCGAGCTATGGTGCGATGTGTTTGCATATCATACATACTGATAAAACATATCGATGTTACCTTCCGTTGACAGAAAATCCATCTTTACTAGAGCTCACGAATGAGCTGCTACCTCTCTTGGCGATCGTCCTTGGGGCAGCTGCAGCCAGACATGCCCAGATAGAAGTTACAAGCCAAAGGTATAGAAAGAGGCGCATGGCAATCGCTGCTCAGAAAGAACGGAGGTAGCAGGAAACTAGTACTCACCCGAACATCCCATTCAAGTTTATAACATAATTTATAACGTCGGGAACGACACGGCATGCGTATGACAAGCACACAAATGAAGAATCTGTTCGCTTCCACTCGAGCGTCAATCAGATTCTTTCAGCACGACCGAGACGCGCATCAACAAATTCTTCGGCAGAAGGAGGGCTATGTCGAACGTTCGGCATCAGTGAGCAACAGATGCGCAGGATGTGCTGAGGAAAACAGTGAGCGAAGATGCTATATGATATTACGCATACAAAAGACTCGGTCGTCTTCCAGGTGGTGCGACGCTAGGCTAAATTGATTCAGCTAATGGAATGCCGTGATCGAAATGGATCAGAACGTAGTGTAAGCACACAATATTACGCAAGGTGGGCTGCCGGTGTACTGCATGCATGTGTTTCGTACAGGAGCTGGACGTTAATTAACCATAGATTCTTGATCGTTGCATTCTAAAATGGTGTGCACAAGTATGTCAGTGTATGCCACAGTGCAGTTATGAAAGGAAGGAATAGTTACATAAATCTAGCCATCGCGCTGTTGTAACTTTTCGTTCTTACGCAATTGACCACGTCGGCGGTGAAGCATAGCGCTCAACTATTCAACGTCTCCGAGTCAAACCCACAGGCCGCCGCGTCAGGGTTTTCAATATTTCGAGTCGTGCGCACATAGGTGTAGCCTCGAGCGCTGTAGAGGTGCTCTTCGGCTGCAAAATACTGGTCTCAGTCCAACTAGTGACGGACCTGACGGTCGACTGACTCAGTGTCGGAGCAGAATTTCGAAAGATGTTTTTCTCACACTGGCAGCTTTACCAACAACTCGTGATTCCCTTTGACGCCCGCCAAATAATTCGGGAGCCTTCCAGTGCCTGGGCCTTCGTGATGCGGTTATTGTTGAATGTTGAATATTTCAAAATGATATCAACCAATCCCATCGGTTTCTCTGGTGCACATGCACAAGAGTTCGACGTTCCTTCACATGATTTATGCTCTCAGGCTCAGGGTTATAGAGGGCAGGCAAGGTCACGGTGCAGGTGCCGCACTGCGGGTAACAACAACCTCGGAATTTACTGTCCACCGGACTTTTAACTGTTCTCAGAACCACAAGCTATACTGCGACGTGATTAATCGATTACCAACAGCGCTTTGCAAAATGAATTCCGATTCGCTTCTACTAAGCGATTAATAATCCTTGCGGACTTCAATATGTGCTGTCAGATTGCAACTTTATCCTCATGACACGGGCCGTCCTGAAAGGCCTGACGCATGACTCAGTACCCTCAATGATGCGTGGGGTTCTGTCCCGACGGATCTCTTATCACACAATGTGGTCATTGTTTAGCTTCAATGATACAGCAGAACGGCTAAAATGTGAGGTGCAGACGTTTGATTCGAGGTTTCTGAGCGATCTTCTTCTGCAGTCTCGTTGTACTCTCTCGATTCGATTCTTGTGTGACGCCTGACACAAGCACCCCAGCGTTCAGTAGGTGTGCTCTTTGGACGTGTCTTCCATTCCTACTTATAACGGTCATCGTGGATGCCCCGAAACTGGATCGTTCACCACTCTTGAATGCAGCAATATTGTCGCGATGAATAGTCGTCGATTTTTCAAACTTTCGAGAAACATGGTGCCCCCCCAATTTCTGGTTTGAACGATAATACATACACACACATACGCACTCTCTAACGTTCCTCTGGAACTTTATCCTTACAGTCTTCATATCTAAATTGCTGGACCAAATTGATGCAGATCTTCAATATTCTCTAACATTTAGGACGTCGCTCAGTCTTACCTTTGGCTTCGAGACTACTACTGCCCATTCACTGCATACACGCGCAAGACCGCGCCGCATAACTTTTATGACCCTGACACAAAAGAAGGGCAGCTAATTTAACGAAATTCTTCGTTTGTGTACCGGTCTGACCCATAGATTCCCATCTCGATTAATTAGGTCAGGACCCTGTCCTTGGTAGCCCTCCTGTGTATACACCTGCTTAGATCGAAGGCACATCTCCCTCAGTAAAATCTAGGGATAGAGTAGACCTACAAATCACCGTGCGGATGGTGCAACGTTCGAGGTATCCGGATTCGCAAAGGCTACCACCAAGGGTGCGGCTCCACCATCCGGTGCACCAAACCTCTTCTTCGTTACTTCCAGGGGAGAATACTTTTTGATTCTTTCCGTCTCGACCTTGAAAAGCTGGACCAGCGCTACGACGTCTAAGCTGTATAGTCCAACCTTTCAGAATCAGTGATACTAAACGACAACACGACATCCCAGATTGCAGAGGTCAGTCTTCTGATTTCACAGGTGGAAGGTTTCTGTCTCAAACGGGTGTAACGCTAGGCTGTGTCTGTGAACTCGTTGCCGGTGTCAGCCCGTTAGCCTTAACCAGGTATGTGACTCTCCGGTGCCCAAACGACGAGTATATTGTTGAAACAGTAGTGAGAATGTGTTTGGCGAGGTCTACGTGAACCTGTTGTTCCCAAGGATATGCACATACAATATTTTGTCTCTTGTAACAGCATCTGATTTTCGACGTTTTGATAGTGACTATCACGCATAAGAGAACAACTCCTTCCTGACCGCTCCTTCCGAGATAATATGGTCGCCGGTGCATCTTTCGAGGCAAGAGGAAGGCTTATCAGAATTACGCGGGTGGAGTAACAGAAAGTGTGACAGAGTCGGTCAGCGAAAAGTCAGATGGGCCGCCGTCGCCGGTCACGAAATCGTAAGCAGAAGGGGGCTGCAGGACGCAATGGATGGCACTGATATTTACGCCAGTGCATCAATTGTATGTATGACAAAGCGCAGGAGCTGCAGGGACTCTCGGTTGTCAACTGTGGGTGGGTATGACATTTGATCGAGTTTATGCGACTCTGATCAAGGAACAAAAGTAGTCCGGCCTGCGTGCAGGACCGACGCTTCTTTGATCTCCACTCATTGCGAGGACATCGGCCGCGATCAACGGCTCGAGATGGTGCCTTTCAAGAATTCCAAGTACCTTCATTTCGATCCTGCGCGTGGCCTGTGCGCTGATATGTTGCTTTGTGTATGGCAAAATATTGAGCACCAATGTATGGCGAATTTCACAGCTCGTAAATTCGTGAATCAGGGGATCCAGACAGACTTTGACTGCAGTGGAAGTAGGACTTAGTAGGCTACGAAACTCGTTTTTGAATCTGTAGCGCCCGACGGCAAATTATTGTGTAGGGTCCACTACTTAGCACCACCTGCAATGCCCGCGGCAGGGCCATGTCCCTGAGGATGATGAAACAAGGGACTTGAAGGTGGCAAAAAGATCTCCAAAAGACGGCGAAACCGGATAGTAAGGGATTGGGTAAAGAGGGATGGGTGTGTAGGTGGTTTACTTGGTGTCAGAAGGTACAGCAGCTGATATCACCATGGGAAAGATGAACTCGGATATCAGCGTATTGATCCCCGTATATTTGGCTGCCAGATGAATTCCCAGATGGCCCCCTAGTGCCTCAGTTCCAGGCCTGCTGCTTGATAGGTTTACAGCGCCCCCCAAACTCACATGCTGTGCGATAAATTTCCACCGCCAGTACGATCCACAGTACCGAGTGTGTCGCTACTGCCAGTAGTATTGCAGATAATTGCAACATAATTCGTAAGTCGAGGTGGGTTGTTATAGTGACGCGTAAATAGTGTTCGATCAACGTTATTACGTAATTAAACTATTAATAATGCTAGCACGAGGTATACGAGTGCCCCTTCCGTAACTCCTTACTCCGCACTCTTACCGCAACTCGTTCAGGTCCTGCCCAGTTCGTCCACCCGAGGCCGCGTTTACAATCAATCACCAATAAAACCGATGCTTCTCTCTGGCTATCTTCGCTCTTGGCAATCTGTTGCATTCATTTTAGTGTCATTGCTCTCATCACTTATCTCTGTTGACGCATGTGAGTGTCTTGGCTGTTCTCTTGCCGCATCGCTTGGGGTACTCACAGAAGACCGGTTTGGGCGTTAGATTTTGTAGTGAACCAACCTGGATCATCCACATCTTGGAAGAATGGTTCTCCTTATCCGGTTTCATGGACGCTAGGCCTCCAGGATGGCTTTGATACCTTCGATATTGAGATAACGCGGCTGAGTCGGGTTGGGATTTATTTTGTGGCAAAAGAACGTAAGTCCTCATTCTAGTAGTTCATAAGACAGTTTTGATTGGTTCAAACAGTGCCCATTACTATGAGTAGCCTCAATGTTGTCCTCCAAGACGTACCAGCAGGCGACGACTACTTCCTGATTTGTATTAACTCTACCGCTGGTGTCACCTACTCTGTTTCCTCCCGTTTCTCAGTTGTGGACGCTAATGCCACGGGAAGCAACCCGAGCCCCGCTTCAGCCCCAACAGTGACCGTCAGTGGGGTACCAAACCCTCTCTCAACATTTGCGCAGACATTCGGACCTTCCACGAATGGCGTTGCACGCCCGGGATGGGCCGGTATCAGGAACCAGGTCACAGCCATCAGCGTGGCTGTGGGAGCCGCATTGATTGGGGGCGTTATGGTACTCTACTGATTTCTTCGAATTTCATTACAGACTATTCTCTTATATTCCTGATTTCGTGGGCGGTCAACATCGAAAATTATCGTAGGCAATCGACCGGACATTTTACATAAAACATTTCATTGAGATATGCACTTCACTATAGAACGTTCGTACTATCCACACTATCCTTTGCTGTTCACACTATCCTTGACGGTTCACACTATATATCTTATCTAGTGATTTGGAAATCATATGTTCTATATGTATTTGATAACTGATATCGCATGATTCCTGCGGCATCTCAAAAATACATCAAGACATTCGTTGCAATATATCATACATCCTAGTACGTAGGCCGATATCTACTGTGCAGTCATTCATGGCGAAAGTGATAACACAAAGATCATATAGTGAGTTTCTGGGTAGGCGTACATGCAAACCAAAGTTAACTGTTGCCAAGGATGATATCCACCTTAACGCATCTAGGGATCCGGGGAATCAGGAACTGGGTTGCGCCGCCAGTCAAGATACCATCTCGGTTCCCCTTCCAAACGGGTGAATTTGAGAGCAAACTCTTTCTCGTTCTCAAGCACCGCTCTCCCAGGAGCGTCAAAGTTGCAGTAGAAAGACATCACTATAATCGGTTTCCCCTCCTTGCGGCCATACACGGGTGTCAGTCGAGTCGACTCCCCGAAGATCTTGCGGATGACACCGATAATGAAGATGCGATTCCAAGCATGATTGATCCCCTCGCTGCGAGTGCAATCCTGAGAGAGATCAGGGTAGAGGGGGCTATGTTCTTTCACGAAGGCTTCGAGCTTCCCAAAATCGATGGGATAACCGAACCAGAACAAAAGTGGTCTTGACTTCTGCGAATGGGTAGGATAAGACACGTCCGGAAGCGTGTTAGGATCAAAGCTATGTAGCTGGCGCGTGTCCTAACCAGGATTGTATCGTGTGAGGATAAAGTCTGTATATAAGTCGATTGACATACCGTGCGCCGTGCAATGACTTCAAGTGTGAGCTCGATCGGAGAAGTGGTTGGTCTGGTCATGGAATCTGGAAAGTGTAGTGTAGTTTCCCCGCGCATTAAATATAGGGTGACAGATCAGCGCGCAGCTTTTTGACAACGGGGGACTACTGCGTCATATGGTGGGGCCGTAAGGGCCAGTATACCCCTTGCGTCGAGCGTTTTACCCCTTGTCATGACTCATGACGAACGACCGGTTTCGCTCTTAGACCGTACACAGGCCTGGGCCACCTGGAACGAGGTTCGTCAACCTCTAGGTTGCCGACTGATTCGGATGTGACATAATGGAGATTCACATACCTGATCTGCAGCACGACGTTTTATGAGATGCAAAGAAACACAACATAGCAAGCATCTGTGGCCTGCAGGTTGAGATCTGAAGCTTTGAGGGATGAAGTGGGCCTCAGTGAGGCGACAAAAACGAAGCTGGCAAAATCAAACAGATTCCAGGCACCGGTCATTTTGGAGTTGGCCGAAAAGGGAACCAACTACTAGCCAATCGATGAATCGATGACGGGCGAGCTGGCTGGCATCAACTTCTATATCTGGTGGTTTGCGGTGAATTCGAGCTGCTGTAAAGTTCAGGGAATGGCGGAATTCACTCCACACGATTGGTGCTATACGCAAATTCAATCAATAATCAAAGCCAGGGATAGAATTGAGTCTGGCCACCCTAAGGCTAGATAGAACCTTATGTTACAGCTTCCGTCAGAATACCTTGACTTTAATGGGTGTCAGTAGAGACGCCCGGGCCAGGATATGAATATAACGAGTCTCACTCGTAAAATTCAGTCGTAGCACTATTTTGATGGTAGTCGCGCCAACGATGCGTTTGTATCGTAGTTTACGCAGCGAAGAATGGTTCAGTAATTCGGGTTCAACCGTTGATGGCGCCTCCAGCTACAGAAAAGGACCATAAGCGTTACGCCTCCGTAACCTGCCATCCCAGATATCAATCAGAGATGTGTCGATATATCCCTGGACAATCAGCACAGCTTCTGTACTATTAGCTTATAGGGAAAGCCAAGAATTCTGACAAAAATCATACCTGAAACACCGCAACCTGGGACTTCTCCAACGTCGCCTCGTAAACTCGAGCGCCTTATTCCAGTCGCACCCATCTGAACTCTTCTTTTTCCAATCTCTGGATGCAGGCAGTGGCTGATCATGAAACACGCGATATAAGCGACAAACAGCAGGTTTAATATAGTCTCGCATATCGGGCACATGCGACAGGCTATCCGGGAGTAAAGGACGCGCGGTGGGTTTCGACGAGAAACTAGATGATCGAGTGCAAGGCGGTGACTTCAAACGAAACCCATCGAGAACTTGTATGGCTTAATGCTGCCGTCAAAATAGAAGAACTGAAAGGTACTTCTGTTGCAGGGTCACCCTATTAGTATACCGTAGATCGAAATACAAGCGTTGACATGCAGACTGATGGGCAACTTGACTCGCATGTTGCTCCTGCAGTCAGTCGCCAACCATTCTCAATGGCGGTACCTTTTCATTACGGGTTGATCCGGCCATTTCAGGATCAACTTGAATTTGATATCGAACGAGTACAGCAAAAGCACCCAAACCTCTTTGTGTCCTGGAGCCCTTTATGCCTTCTCGAGAACCCAGTCATGGTATCCCAAAATACATGTCGTAATCGGACAGGCTTTGTCGACGTGTTGGATGAGAACGACAGTTAGCGGCAGACTAGCAGTATTTATTGCCTAACTTTTGCCTTCAGAGCGAGGGCGATAAATGTCCTTGAATAGAATTTATTTGCATGATGTGTAGAGCTACATGAGCTGTGGGTTCGCTATTTTAGTGGAGCTGCAGCACAGTCACTGAGGTGGGCTTGGTTCATGTCGGAAGCAGTGATGTCAGCGGTGCCATTAATTGTTGTAGCCTATTCGGACTACTAGGCGTAACAATGACTGTTTGAAGACAGGTGAAACGATAATGGGCGGTGCCCATTAACTGCGCATTGCTTGTTTGCGAGATCTGCACTTCCTTCTATTCACTCATTTGCCCGAGAGAGCCAGACTAAATCAATGCTATTCATCAACTACATGAACGTATTATACATACGTGGGAACGCTTTCAATAGCTCAACTTTTAACACCTCTGCAAGATGGTACTTAGTGGCGACAACTAGGCGATTGGTTGGAGATCAGCAACGCGGTTAAATTCCCACTGCTGGGAAGTATTTCCTTGGGCCTGATTGTTGAGTCTCACCTTGGGAACATTAATAGCAAAAGCCTTTAGAAAGATCCACTGACTTACTGCACTGTGATTTGGGTTTGGAACAGATAACACCAAGTTCTTGTTCCCGCGAGTGAAGCTAATACTGTAAATGCGAGTGGTTAAATAGGTTGCTGAGCACTGCGTCATATTCTCACTTGAAACTATTGTTCGCTTGTTCACAAAGATCGACGATAAACGCCTGCCTAGTATAAACGACTGGTTCGTCCGCAGCCTGCCCATGTCTGTGTCAACCAACAAGGAAATGAATGAATGAATGCCCATCTAACATACGTCCTTGGCGGTAGCAAAGCATCCATTTCCATTGTTGCCGTTGTTGTTGGACTGAATGCTAAGAGTTTTGTTGGATGTCCCTGGCTCATTTTGCCTCTTGATCATCCACTACGTGGTGTGTGAGAACCGATCACAAGGTGGGTGCAAACACGTATAGATACCTGTTGAGCCACAGTGCCATTGTTAGGGGAGATCTGAATCTGGTTGCCTTCATTGGTGCTGTTGCTCGTCAGATCGAGCATGAAGTTTGTGCCAACGTGTCTGATAGTATACACTCCATCGTTGGGGAAAGACATTGTATAAGATGTAGGTCACTAGTGAAATGATTCGACAATGAGATGAGGAACTGGAGGAAAGGTCAGAGAACGCTGGGCTTTTATAGTGGCATCGTGGGCTGTTTTCCACATACATAGGAGCCACAAATCTGGGCGATAAAAGTGAGCGCAACGATACTCACTCGGTGCTTTGGATTTGCGTACCATTCTTTCCCAATACTGGCAGTGGCAGTAGAAGGTCCCCACTTATCAGTCTGGATCCAACGGAGATAAAAGACAGTTATTAGCGGCAGCGCAGCGGATGGTCATCCTCGACATAAGCACAGATGACGACGTATTAGCCCTTGGCAATGTGATCAGGTGTTGTATTTCCAATAATTTTTGCAGTCGTGTTGGTGCTTGGGCGCATTCTAAACACTGATCATAGAAAGTGCACGTGCACTGGCAGGTTGCAGGTTACATGCTTGCAGATTGTGTTTTGAAGGTGACTTGTGCAACTTGAGAGAGATGACAAATACCCACTGGCAGCACAGCATGAGGACCGTCTGGACTGGAGTTGACAACGATGAAGAGTTGATGACCCTGGGGTGTAATTTGATTATACCGATACCGCCGTCGGTCCTAGCAAGACCATGAGGCTTGCTTCGAAAGTCAGGGATTTGGATTAGGGCCAAAGTCTGGGGAGCTAGCTCCACTTTGACTAGCTGTACTCTTCAACCGTTTCCTGGACCCAGACTGCTCTAGGCTGACCATAAACGGTGGCCATGTTGCTCCCCTTCTGTGTCCTCCCGCGGCAGCATGTTTATGGGATTTTGGTAGGTTGTCGTAAGTAAACCTGGACTGACATCGACTTCGAGGGGCACATCTGGCCCAGGGTAAGTCCGAGTCTGTCGCAGACCGGAGTTACTAGTACTGTAGAGATACGCACTTAGCTTCGTCACAGCGTCACACGTCCGACGAATCGAAGCTATTTCGTGTGACCGTCACACAAGATTGAAGTCATCGAAGGTAAATTGTGACACACGGTAAAACATGAAAAAAAATGCAAAAATGTTCTCAAAAATTCTTGTACTGATTATTTGCCATGCATCTCGCTTTACATGACCAAAATTTTCTTCATCACCATCAGCTGTGAGCTCTTGCTGACAGCAGCTGGTAGTGGTGCTGATTCGAAGCTATTTTTGACATGTCACAGGTCACACCCATCTTCGAATCTTCGGAGCTAAGGTTCAGTTGGTCACACCCAGATGATGTCGAAGCTAAGTGCGTATCTCTACAGCAGTAGTAGGTTTCAGTGAATGGTAGCGAGATGCAATCTTCGTATCATGACATGTCTCAAAGCTGTCCGCAAGCCATCAGTAACCCAATGAGTCCTTGACATGGTAGGGATTGCTATTGTAATCAAGTATGATAATGCTACTGCTCTGCAATGCTGTAGAAACACAAGTAAACTTGCTTTACAATGAAATAGACATGGATGGTACAAAAATATAGATGTACAACTGAGGTTTGTCACGAGTGTGTAGGGGAGTGCAACGACAGTAGCAAAGTGATAGTAGCACACTTGTCTCCACCTTGTGGCGAGTTTTCATTTGTCGCTACCTTGATATTGCAGGGATGGCAATGTAATGCAGTGTAATTACTCTACCGCACTCACATCGGGGTTATCAATATTTAGCAGCGGATTGTATGTAGTACGAAATGTGAAGAAAGCATTTGAAGTTTAAACTGACATAAAGATGGAGAGATAACTTCAAATTTTGGCAGTGTTTTCTATGAGATACAAAATTTGAAACATCGGCAACTGTATCCCCACTGACCATATGTCTATAACAATAAGAAATTTAATCTGAATTTTTGCGTGTGCTCAAATTTGAAGTCAAATTCTAGCCTAAAATGTTGGACAAAACGTGAAGTTTGAGACGTGATCATACGCCTGCTTATGTATGAAGTATTGTCCAACAATTAAGATGCCCTGAAAATTTGAAGTTTATGCCTGTGACGAAATGTGAAGACAAAACTTATATGGTCAAAACAGAAATAGGTTTCAAACTTTGGAAAAAATATCTTTTCCTGGGCTGGTACATCATTTAGAGGCATCTTCCAGGAATCATATGAACCAAGAATTAAGAAAAACGGCGGTTGGAATATGGAGATATGGTCGAAATACTGACTTTTTTGCCCCTCCACCAAACCGCAATATTGGCGACCTCTATACACCCTGGGACCATCTCCAATCGATTTGTACGACTGAAAAACAGTAGGAACACTATTTTCAGTATCGGCCTTGAGTCAGATTTGAGTGTGGTGCGATATAGGGGGTAGGGGGGGGGAGGAGGACATTCTATATCTCGACAACCTGATTTTTCCTGACATATTGGGCTTTACCATCGTGTTCAGGGACATTGAGAGCCCCCTGGAAAAATGCTTTTGGAGGGCATGCAAGTCATGGGAAGGCTAGAAAAATCGATCTTTGAGGGGGGTGTTACAAGAACATCTAGACGCTTGGGCCCCTACTATTTTTCTCCTGATCCTCCTCGTATCAGCCCTCGCATCATACCCTTACCCCGACCTCACCCTTGTCATCCTCGTCATCCTTGCATTCCCTTTCGCCCTCTACCTGTCGCTTCAGCAAAGCCAGTACATTTGGCCGGATCCTTTCGCTGACGAAGCATACCCATGCTCCGTTTCACCACCTGACTGATCCTGTGGACAGTCCCCCTGCCCTTACCATCTGGATGGTAACCTATGACATAATGCACGACACATCCCATTTCCTTTCTTGATCTCTGACTCGGTGCGCAGTCGCACATGCGACTTATACTTAGATCCGCAGTTGCACGATCGTGCCCCTGCGTGTTTCACTTCTCATTCTGATCTCTGACTCACTTTCTTATCTAGCACGTTCTACCTCGACCGAACGTGCCTTCCTATTATGGTCTTACCCTTTAATGATTGCCTCTCCCGGTAGTACGAGTTATCACCCACTAATACGTCCCCTGTCCTCTATATAAACTCGCTACCATGTACCATATTCCCTAACTTGAATCTACTTGGTTCTTGACCTCCTACTCTCACCAGAGTGATCCTTCTGCCTCGCCAGCAGTCTATATTCTATCTTCTTATCTGCTCCTCGCGGATAAGCCTATAGTCTCGACCTTTACTCATCGACTTCGTCGACGAGCAAAGCCCCTGTTAATTAGTCGGACTTCTGTCCTTCTAATTAACGACGATCCTTACGATTAACCTTCGGGTGTCGTAAGCCTAGGCCGATATAGCTTATTGTCTCGCACCCGCGTGACATAAGCTACCCGATTTGGACATAGGCGTCAAATCGTACTTGCCGAAGACACGCCAAGTACGACCCCTAACCTTGGGCTAGCCCAAGGACGTCCACAGACCGTTGACGACACAAGCTCTGTTTGAGCGTCGCCAACAGATACCATCCAAGTCGTAACAGGGGGTATGCGACAAATTCGCACATGTCACTTTGTATGGTCTCAAATCACTCTTGTATCATTCTCAATCGATTTATATCATTGTAAAACAGTAGGGACACCCTTCTACATACCGGTATTTACATAATAGGAAGATATGTGAGTTAGGGGGGGGAGGAGGACCTTCTGTATCTCGACCACCTGATTTTTTCTGACAATTCGGGCTTTACCATCTTGTTCGCAGGCATAAAGAGCCCCCAGTAAAAATAGTGTTGGAGCCATGGCAAGTCATGGGAAGGCCAGAAAAATCGATCTTTGAGGGGGGGTATGAGGTCAACTTACACATTACATTTCATATTGGCCAAAAACACTTCGAACCCATCTTCAATCTATTTGTATGATCCAAAGACACTATTTAAATCCTTTTTACATCAGTATATACATAAAATCATGCTTCATTGTTGAGTAGGTAGGGGGAGGGGGTAGCATGACTCTGAAACATGATTTATTCGGACAAAATAAGCATTGCCATCGCATTCAGAGCGTCAAATAACCTTAGGATCAAGTTCCATTTGAAGCCAGGCAAGTTGTATGAAGGCTGAAAAAATCAACCTTTGAGTGAGGCAAC